TAGACTGTAAGCCACTTGTGGGTAAAGACTGAGTCTCATTGGTGTTGTGTAATTCTCTGGGTGTTTTTCATGAGAAAAAATCCCACATTTTTTTTCTTTGGTTCATTTCTTCATTCAACAGATATTTACTGAGTGTTTATGCCAAGTACTGGACTGAGGAGGAATAAAATACGATTCTTGCATTGAAAACAGATTGATAAATTGACTCAAGCATATTAAATAAAGCAATTCTGGGTACATGGGATGATGATCTTTGTCCCTGTGGGAAATTGATTAGAAGCTATGCAGGAAATGACTCCTCAAATAATACATGTATTGAGAAAAATCTCCTACCGGCTGGTGCCTGGACTAATGAAAATTTAATTACTTAGGAGATATGTGGGTGGTTTGCCTGAAAAAGACTTAGTGATCAGTCGTTGAAGGCCTGGGAGAGAGTCCTCTGAAAACAGAAAACCAGGAGCTTCAGGAGAGCAGTAGGTTTAGGAAGAGACAAGGGAAGGGCTGACTAAGGCAGGTCTTGTTGCTGCACGGAATCATCAGTTGAAGAAACTCAAAAGACAGCAGCACTGTCTTGGGACACTTGGAGCTTAGGGGAAGAGTTTAGAGCAGGGAAATTGACAGAATTATGGAAGTCACCACTGGTATCTTGGGGAGCAGCCATAAAGCTAGTTCCAACCTTAGACTAAGGGAACAGAGTTCCAAACAGAAACCATGTAACTTTTTCCATGGCTGGAATGGCTCTAAGGAAGATATTGGTTTGATATGCAAAGCTTGAAACAATTCTAAAGATGTACATTTGCCTTTTTTTAAACACTGTGTTTTACAAATCTTCTGTACCCAAAGAGTCCCTCATATTATAACAGTCCCTCATATTATAAGCTGGTGTGCTTTAAGTAAATGATTGGGCCCATGGTTCTAGAGAGGATACAATGGCAGAGAGGGGACACAGTAGGGCATAGAAGTGTCCAGAAATCCAGAGGAAGTCTTCAGAGAAAAAAATGCTTGATCTCCTCAGGGGTGACAGTGGAAATCAGCTCAACCCCGCATTGACTAAGTTCCTACTAATATTATAGTTAATTTTTTTCAACAACTTTTTTTTTTTTTTTTTTTAATTTTGAGACGGAGTCTCACTCATTCTGTGGCCAGGCTGAAGTGCAGTGGTGTGATCTTGGCTTACTGCAACCTCCGCCTCCCTGGTTCTCCTGCCTCAGCCTCCCAGGTAGCTAGGATTACAGGCATGCGCCTCCACAACCAGCTTATTTTTGTGTTTTTAGTAGAGATGCGGGTTTCACCGTGTTAGCCAGGATGGTCTCGATCTCCTGACCTTGTGATCCGCCCACCTCAGCCTCTCAAAGAGCTGGGATTACAGGCGTGAGCCACCGTGCCGGGCCTCAACAACTTTTTAAGGGCCTATGTGTATAGCTGAGACACAAAAATAAATGATACATGACAATTTGGTTTAGTAACAAAGTTAAACTTGTAAACAATAAATGCCAGATGTCATGCTAAAATTATGCATGAAGTACTCAGGTTGGTACAATAATATCTGGAGGAGGGTGTTAAAGAATCAGGGGAAAGGTTTATAAATGAGATGATTTTAAGTCTTGAAAGACGAGTAGGTGTTTGCCAGGTGGATGGAGTGAGGCAAGAGGGGTAGGGAATGCTGCTGTCAAAAGAAGTGTATTTAAGGTGAAAATCTTCCAGTATTAATAAAACAGGATTAAAGAGAAGAGAAACATAGAAAGAAAAATGAGGCTAGAATGTCAGGCAGGCTCCAGATCATAAAATGGTGTGTTTGCAAGTGCCCATGGTTAAATTTTCAGGAATTTCGAGACAGATGCTAAACTCAGTCATTTTTAGCAATTAGGTTATGTTAACTTACTCTTAAATAAATTATATTGCAAAGAAAAGTTACTCAAAATGAACCACTTCCTGATTTATTTTGCTACATTTTACTGTTACCTATGTTGAGGACATTTGCATTTATTGTATCTATATGGTGTAAATACTATGTGATGGTGCGCTACTGGGCATTTTCTCCCAGCTTTGCATTCAGAGATGTCATGATGTAGTTTTAAACCAGCCAGGGCAGGAATATTTATGCTGTGAATGTTAGCAAATGCTACAAATCAGGGCTTCCACCCCACCACCAAAAGCCAGTTGTTAAACTGGCTTTCAGCAACTGGTTTTTGGTTGTTAAACCAGCCTTGCATGGACTCACACATCATGCAAGAGTTTGAGCTTTTTCATAGAGAGAATGATCAATCTGGTTTGGGTAAAGGAAAAGGAGACAGTCAGAATGACTCACAAGTTTGACTTGTATAACAGAAGCAATGGTGGCGCCATTTATTTTAAGAGGACTCATAGGTGGGGAGATATATAAAGCAGAAAAGACAATAAGGTTTGGATTTACTGCATTTGGGAAGCCCATGGTCCATCCCAGTGTATTAGGCAGTTGGGTTTATGGGTCTGGAGCTCAAGAGTCTAGATTGTAGGTGTGTAGTTGAGTCACCTGCAAGCAGGTAGTAGTTTAAACCACGAACGTGGGTGATGTTGCTTAAGGTGAATAAGTAGCAAGAGAAGACTGCCAAGGCCAGAACTCAAGGAGTGTTAACATTATAAGGTGGGCAAGGAGGAGGAGCCAGTAAAGGAGTTGATATAGCATAGTCAGAGATGTCTGACGACAAACAATGTCAAAATACAGCTTCTGACCTCAGTTGTCCTTTGCGAGAAGGAAGCTAGGATATAAACTGAGAATTTCAAAGCAGCAAGTGGTACCAAAAAGGCATCGATAGAGTACTGTTCACAAGAGCGCCCAGAGGACCCAGCAACAAACTTCCTGAAAAAGAGAGATGGGGATGAGTAAGGAAAGGCTTCAGAGAAACTGACTCCTGAGCTTCTTTAGTAGAAGTTTATCTACCTGCAAAGCCCTGAAAGCCTAGGAAAAGGGGAAGACAAAATGGGAAAGTGTATTTTCCCCAAAAGATACATTAGGTTAAAAAAAATTGCTTGCAATTTTCTAGGTATATTCTTGAAATATACCAAAGCATCACATATACTCCACAATTCTTTCTAAACTAAGAAGTTACTTGAGATCTGTATTCAGAGGATCTTAAAAAGGTATATTGAAATTCCACCCACCTCAACCCCAGAATGTAAGAATTCTTTAGATTTTAACTGTTCCAAATTTAATGAGTATTTGACATATTTGCTTTGGGGACTATCCTTGGAATAGTTACATGGCAAGTAATTCTTTCAGCTTTCTATCTCCATACTTTATAATAAACTCAGTGTTGCCCAGAGCTTTTTTCTTCTCCTCCTCCAGAGACGCCTCTATAGTGGCTGTTTGGAGAATGGTGTACTGTTTAGATTTGTATCTGGAAATGCCTCTAATCTCAACAGATGTAGATGAGATTGAGATTCAGTGAAGTTAATTGCTCAGTCACAGAGCTAGTAAATGGTGAGCCAGAATTAAAAACCAAGTTCGTCTCTGACCTTAACCATTATGCTATACTGTCTCTACATATGTATTATGAATCTCTAATCATATTATTTTGTACAGAAAACCATCATTGGCAAGGGCCCTTGCCTTTGTGTTCCTAACAAGCCTCACACCTAGCAACGTCTAGGCAAAGTAAGTCCTTGAATAGCCAGTGCCATCTTCTATCAACCCACTCCAACACCAGAGACAGTTGCGCTCATGTATGATTTCTTTGTGGTTTGTAATTTTTGTCCAGTATAAAAGATAACCCATGGATTGTAGTTTAATTGCCCCATAGGACATAAACCAGTTTTGCATCTGTGGAGAGGCCCTCAACTCATCCCCAAATGTGAAGATTTGCTAGGAAGACTCATAAGACTCCACATACAGTTCTGCTCACGGCCATGATTTATTACAGTTAAAGGATACAAAGCAAAATCAGCAAAGGAAAAAAGACACATGGGGTGAAGTCAGGGGAAACTAAGTGCAAGCTTCCAAGAATCCTCTGCCAGTGGAATCACAGATGAGCTTAATTCTCCCAGCAACCAGTTGTAACAGCACTTGTGCAACACCGTCAACCAGAAAAGCTTGTTAGAGACTGAGTGCCTGCGGTTTTTAATGGGAGCTGGTCACAAAGGGTAGTCTCTGCCTGGCACATACCAAAATTCCAGACTCCCAGAAGGAAAGCTATATTGTTTTCAGGAGAAACTATATTGTTTTACAGTTTAGATATAGTAAGCTACTTTGATCAGTTGTGGGAATGGTGGAAGCCCCCTGAACTCCAAGTTCCCAGATGCCAATCAAGGGCCAACCTTGTAAAGCAGGTCTTAAGCATAAGTAGTCAGGTCAGCTTCATTAACACTTTTTTCTGCTCAGCAATTTTATCTCAACATTTTTTCTTCAATGCCCTTAGTTTCTTGAACTGCACTTTGAACCAGCTTTACTATCTGCTGGTTTCCTCATTAATGAGTTGAGTAAGTCTTCGACACATGCTCATTTTATATACATGTATATATATGAGTCATGTTGTCAACTTAAAAGGTTTGACAGATAATAACCTAATCAAGCTAAATAAAATCCAGTCAAAATTAATAAATAAAAAACATTAACTCAATAATATCAAGGCTTAATCTCCATCTCACTTTAGTTACTTAGGAAAGAAAAAAAAAGCAACCTTTACACTAGCATTTCACACTTTCTTAGTGACTTCAGAAAGTCTTCTGATTTAGGTGGCAACCACGTGCCTAGTTGTACTTAGGGCAATATTAATAAAATAATGAATGTTTCTATAAGTAATAACATATAAAGATCAACTTCCTCTTTAATTTTACCAATCAGAATATTAAAATGCTACATCATTGTTTTAGATGAAATTCCCCATTTAAATATATTACACATAAGCCAAAATTTAGAAACAGCTCCTCGTATCACTGTACAATTTTGGGCCTTTAAAAAAAGTAAAAGCTTAATTTTAAGTTTGAATATAATGTGCAGTTTATGTAACATATATAATATATAATTATACTTTATACATTATATAAAGTATTATCCTTATTGTGAACTTTATTATGCTTCTGAAATTTCTCCATCATTTCAAATTTACTTCAATAAAAATTTCCCTGTATTTTGTGAATTGCATTTTCAAAGCAGAAGTAATGTTACAAATTTCTGTCTATAATAAACAAAATATTTACGCTTTATTAATAATCCTATTTAGAAAAGGATGCAATTAAGAGCTGGAATAGCTAACATAAGCATAAGAAAGGTAAACTTTTCTTGAATTAAAAAAAGGAAATACTTTAATGAAAAAAAATCAAGGACAGAAGGAACGAGAAAATTTTCTAAACAGCAGCTGGTCCTTCTTCACAATATGCATTACTTGTGCAAATACATCATTAAATAATACTCATCTGATATTTACAAAATAGAGGTAAAAGAAAAACCTAAAGTATCAGGATCTTTCATTTCTTATCCTCTTCCAATCTTCTGGATACATTAGTTTACATACCAACTAAACACGTGATACTAGTTAACTATAGTTGAGAGCTTATCAATTAAGTCATCAATAGTGTAAACAAGAAGTTGAATGTCTGCTTTTTCCTTCATTTGGTGATCACTATGTTTTCGGAGGATGACATCCACATCTGTGCTGAGTACTCGATCAGCAACCTGCATTGATGTATGCCAAGGTACAATGTCATCCTTCATGCCATGGAGCAATCTTATAGGGCAGTTCACAGGAATTGGGCTATGTAACAAGCAGTGATGTTCAGCTTCTTTAATGAAACTGTACTGAACATTATAAACTCCTTCTTCAGAGTATTTTGATGGCATGCTCCACACGCCTTTCATCTCTACTTCCTTTTTTAGCTATTGGAAACAGAAAGAAAAACAAAAGTATTTGTGATTTTAAGTAACATTAACATATGCAATAGTTTCAAGTAATCTAAAGAAAGCAGTTCTTGAATAAGAGGATAGAGGTAACAAAAGCATAACAATATTATCAATAATTACTATACGCCAGGTACTGTGATGGGTATTTTATACATATTATTCCATAAGATTCTGATAATAATTCTGTTATTATTCTATTTTTACAAAAGAGGGTAATATGGTTTAGATAAATGAAATATTGTGCCCAACAGTTCAGGGCTAGGCTACTAACTATGGCTAAGACTCAAACTTAAATTTAAATTTATCTAACTTTATCATACACTATCTTAAATCAGATGTTGCTTTACCCCAACTGAAAAGAAAAATGAAGGGTGAGAAAGGCACTACAATTTCTTGGAATCGGTCCAGGTATCATTCATGTTTAAATAAAATCAAATCTTAGAACAAACGTTGTTTAGATTTCAAAATTGTAAACCTAAAAGTGCTTAAAGGAGCTAAAATGGGTATGGCATAGGGGAAGAAGAGAAAGAATCAAACACAGAACTAAGAATAAAAAACTAAGAGTAATTACACTGAAACTATCATACACATACTCATGAAATTTTAGGCTGAATGTAAAGAAATACAGTTTTTCCTTCCAGAGTCCTACAAAAGAGAAAAAAATTTGATTTTTGTTCGGGATGACAAAGAAGTCTTCCACATACTTCCTGAAAGCCAAACAATAATATCTGTACATTTATTCCCTTAAAATGAAACATACACTTCCTTTGACTTTTTGAGAACTCCTATTTTTTACATAATTTATCTTAATTTTCCTTAAAAAATTAGAATTTTGTATAACGAGTAACATGCAATCATTATAGAAAACAATAATAATAGAAAAGAAATAAATCACCCATAATCCTATCTTATGGATAGAAAAACCATTAATATGTGGCTTACTGTGGCACATATACACCATGGAATACTATACAGCCATAAAAAAGGATGAGCTCGTGTCCTTTGTAGGGACATGGATGCAGCTGGAAACCATCATTCTCAGCAAACTATTGCAAGAACAGAAAACCAAACACCGCATGTTCTCACTCATAGGTGGGAATTGAACAATGAGATCACTTGGACACAGGAAGGGGAACATCACACACGGGGCCTATTGTGGGGGGTGGGGGGGATAGCATTAGGAGATATACCTAATGTAAATGATGAGTTAATGGGTGCAGCACACCAACACGGCACATGTATTACATATGTAACAAACCTGCATGCTATGCACATGTACCCTAGAACTTAAAGTATAACCAAAAAAAAAAAAAAAACCTTGCGACTTATTTCCTTCCAATATTTGTCTATATGTGTTTTGGTTTGTATGTAATATGTAAAATACATACATATTACACATTCATATAGTTTTCTATGCTGCTTTATTTAGTGCATATATTTCTGGGTTTAAAAAATTATATGAAAAGGTTTTAAATGCTGCATAGCAGTCCACCATAATTGACTTAATTAGCTTGACCATCTCATACTGTGGTACTGTCATGAATACTTTTGAGCATAAAAGTTTACTTATATATAATAAATTCTTGGAAAGATGATCAGAGCTTAAAACTAAAAAAAAAATCAAGCTATGAATAGTTTTAAGACTCTTACAATCATATAATATGAAGGGCATTTCTAGAAAAATGGAATGGACATCTTATCAAAAATTTAAAAAAACAAGGAAAGAAAAGCTACACATAATTGAAAAATTGAAAATTTCAACAAATATACTATGATTTTCCCATGTTTAAAATTGTTAATTTATTGCAAATGTAAAAAGGAAAACAAGAACTTAAAAAATATGTATGACAAAACATAATCTATATGTACTTAGGCTTTTAATATATTTTTAATTCCAAAAAGACTTAATAATTCAGTAAAAAAAAAAGGTACTTCTAAATACGTCTCCAAATGATTTAAAATTAATGAAATTCTACAAAACTATAAAATGTATAAATCTATATTAATATCATGGCATTCTCTGTATTAAAACAACATATGAACCAAATATTTAAAGTAAAGATGATGTTTAGCTATCCTCAACTACTCAGGATTGTTCCTGAATTTGTAAATACTTCAGCAGATAGAACTTAGTCCCACTGATTATTAGCTGAAGTGGAGGTTTTGCTAATTAAGGAGACACTGAATTAATAATAGTTTCATTTTATGCATCCCTGGCCCCCAACTAGCTCTGTTACCTGCCACTGAATTGAATGAAAATGGTCCATTTGAAGAACAAAGTTAACTTTATAAAATGTATGTCTCAAATCTTCAAGAACAAAAAGTTCAGAAACAGCAAAGACATTACCCAAAGAAAATGTAGAATATATTAAGTTCTACACCAACAAAACTTATCAAGGCAATGTGGTTCAGAAGCTTACATTCCAAACAGCTGTGCATCATGTCCGAGGCCCTCTAGTGTCCAAAGAAGGCAATAATGATTAGAGTCAGTTAAGAGGATGGTCCAGTTCTTACACAAGCAATGAGAAAAGCTGGGCTTAATATTCCCAGGGTTAAAAAAGACAGTAAAAATCTCCACATCTGCTCCATTGACATTGTTAGCGCTGTTTATGTGGAGAAGAGATAGTGGTCTTAGTGTTGGTGCTCTTTCCTTATATATACTTTTAAGTTAACCAAGGGCTCAACATGCTTCTGTTAACAACTGCTTATCAGATTAAGTATTAGCAAAAAATGCCTTGATTTGCAGATTTAAATCTTCTCAGTCACTTAGAAAGTATCTACCCTATCCTCACTCTGACTGATGTGAACACACACACACACACACACAGAGAGAGAGAGAGAGAGAGAGAGAGAGAAATGTAAAAATCAGAGAGAGAGAGAGAGAGAGAGAGAGAAATGTAGCAGGGGAGAGAGAGAGAGAGAGAGAGACAGAGAGAGAGAGAAATGTACCAGGAGAGAGAGAGAGAGAGAGAGAGAGAGAGAGAGAGAAATGTACCAGGCATAATGGCTTGTGTCTGTAATCTCAGCACTTTGGGGATCCAAGGCAGGAAAATCTCTTGAGCCAAGGAGTTCAAAACCAGCCTGGGCAACATGGCGAGACCCCCATCTCTACAAAAAATACAAAAATCAGCCAGGCATAGTGGTGTGCACCTGTGGTCCCACTACTCAGGAGGCTGAGGTGGGAGGATCTCTTGAGTCTGGGAGGTCAAGGCTGCAGTAAGCAATGACTGCACCACCGCACTCCAGCCTGGGCAGCAGAGATACCCTAAAAACCCCCAAACATAAAAACAAAACCAAAACAAATGTACACAGGTTTTGTCATTTACCAATAATTACAAAATACAATAAATCCCCCCAACCCCCCAAAATCAAATCCTTTTCAATCTGCCATGTCCTTGAGATAATTTCCTACCTGAGAAGCACTATATTATTGAGTTGAGAGGATGGAGCAAGGAGGAGTCCACATTTAGATCCACAAAATGGCAATGGTGGGAAAAACATGAAGACATTGAGCAACTATGTATAAGAAACCACCAAGAAAGTGAACAAAATTCAGAAACAGGAGATAAGTTCAAGGAAGACCAGCTTTGTAATTTTAGCTCTGACAGGAAATAATATAAGAAACCTGAATACACACACAATGCTATTTCTTAAGGAGCTGAAAACAATGTGAACTAAGAATGAACGTAGCTAATAGATGGCAAAGGTATTAATGCAGAACTTGAGGCAAATCAATGACATTCTACTATTCAACACTACATACGTTTTTTCTTCTTTTTTTATTTCTGAATCTCCTTCTCTTCTTCCTCCATTCTCTAAAGCATTGTTCTCAAACTTTACAAGAGGTTTGTTAAAACACAGACTGCTGGGCCGCACCCCCAGTTTTTGATTCAGGGTAAAACCCAAGAATTCGGGCTTCTAACAAGTTCTCAGGTGCTGCTGCTGCTGTTACTAGCCTAGGGACCATATTTTTAAACTACTGCTCTGTTTTCTTTAATTTCTGTATCTCTGTCACTCTGACTGACAGTATCTGTCTGGAGAGTTCTGTTGAGAGGATCTGAGGCTGCTTTTAGGCTAAAACAAAGAGAGTCAGCTCTCCATATTCATGGTTTCTGCAACCATGGATTCAACTAACTTTGGATCAAAAATACCTGGAAAAAAAAGGTTACATCTGTATTGAACATGTACAGACTTTTTTTCTCGTCAGTATTCCCTAAACGATAACAGTATAACAACAATTTACATAGCACTTACATTGTACTAGGTATTTTAAGTAATCCAGAGATGACTTAGATTATACAACATGTACAAATACTACACCATTTTTTTTTCTCAGAGACTTGACCTTCTATGGACTTTGGTATCCGTGGGAGGTCTTGGAAGCAATCCCCTTCAGATACCAAGGGATGACTGTAGTTTCAGTTGATTAGCCCACTCTAACATAGTCATAAGAATAGGCACTAGCCTAGGGACCACATGCCACAAAGTAAGAGGACCAAAAGGAGATCACGATGTATGATCCAAATAAGTAAATGTAATAATAAAGAAAATGTTGCTTTAAAAAAAGACACTTCAAAGTGTGATTTTGTTAACGTGTCTCAAATATTGGCAGAATGACTTGAAGAGACAGTGAAGAAAGGAAATCTTAAACAAGATGCCAAATAGTTAAAGGTAGAAAAAAGATTGTGTACAGAAAGGCAGCTAAGACAAAAGTTGGGCCAGCACAGTAAGTCAAAGGACTTGTTATCTGTCCCTCCTTCCCTCAAAGAAAGAGGGAGCAGAAGAAGTATAAGGGGTAAATATATTGAGGTGGTCAAAGTGACTTTTGACTTACCTCAACAGGAAGCTGATTAAACTTTGTCACTAAGGTATCTGCAGCTGTAGCTACACCAATAAGAGCCATGACCTTTTCTGGTCGTGCAATTGCAGCATGAAGCATAAGCCACCCCCCAAGGCTCGATCCAACAAGAATCTAAAAATAAAATAAAATATTAGGTCTTTAAGATAGAAAAGGTTATAAACATAAAACAAAACATGTACAAAAAAAATATACTGTTTTGTTTTGGTTTTTTTTTGAGACGGAGTCTCGCTCTGTCGCCCAGGCTGGAGTGCAGTGGCGCGATCTCGGCTCACTGAAAGCTCCGCCTCCCGGGTTCATGCCATTCTCCTGCCTCAGCCTCCAGAGTAGCTGGGACTACAGGAGCTCGCTACCATGCCTGGCTAATTTTTTGTATTTTTAGTAGAGACGGGGTTTCACCATGTTAGCCAGGATGGTCTCGATCTCCTGACCTCGTGATCCGCCCGCTGCGGCCTCCCAGAGTGCTGGGATTACAGGCATGAGCCACCGAGCCCGGCCTAAAAAATATATTGTTAGAAAGTAAAAATCATGGAATCATTTTAAATCAAATATCAAAATTGATTAAACATTTAAATGAAATAAAAACATTTTCATATCTAAGGAAATAGCTTAGGCCAGGCGCAGTGGCTCACGCCTGTAATCCCAGCACTCTGGGAGGCCGAGGCGGGCGAATCACGAGGTCAGGAGATCAAGACCATCCTGGCTAACACGGTGAAACCCCATCTCTACTAAAAATACAAAAAATTAGCCAGGTGTGGTGGCGGGCGCCTGTAGTCCCAGCTACTTGGGAAGCTGAGAAAGGAGAATGCCCAGGAGGCAGAGCTTGCAGTGAGCCAAGATCGCGCCACTGTACTCCAGGCCAGGCGACAGTGTGGGACTCTCGCTCAAAAAAAAAAAAAAGAAACAGCTTAAATATGAGGTTATAGTAATTACCATCATACTTAACAAAAACAGTCACCTGTGGCCCATCAGCTAGGTCATCAATTATAGAAAGAACATCTTTTCTCCATTTCCCCAGTGTGCTTTCCTCCGAGTTACCATCTGAACTTCCAACTCCTGAGTAATCAAACCTGGAAAAAGGGGATAAAAAAATCTGTATCTAAATATCTATACATTTGCTTCTTTAATTTTTCAGAAAGATAGCACCTTCCTCATTACTATAATGCTTATAGCAAAACATCACAATCAATATGTATTTTAGCAAATTCTATTGGCTTATTCACTTTCAAATATCTCCTATGTCCAATCACTTTCTCACCTCCTCCACTGCTACCAGCCTAGTCCTAGTCACACTGTCTCTCAACTGAACTTAATGCAATAGTCTCGTAAAAAGTCTCCTGTTTGCATTTTCACACTCATAGTCTTTCCCTATAGAGTGATCCTTGTAAAACAAAACCATGTCTTGCAAACCCTCCAAAAGCTTTCTATTATCTTTAAACCCAGAGTCCTTACGATACTTTGGTGCCTGATCACCTCTCTGATCTCATTTCTCATTGTTTTCTCTCTCTCCCTCCCTCCCAACTGTATCTTCACTTTCCTTCTTGAAGTTCCCGTCTCATCAGCTTTTTTCTCCACATGGCATACCCTCCTCCAGATGGCCATTTAGATTGATCCCTCACTTCATTCAGGCCTTTGGCTCAAACGTTACATCTTCAGAAAAGCCTCCCATGACCATTCAATTATTAAAACTGTGCTGCTTTCATCATTCTCTAATTCTTTACTCTGCTTCATTTTCTTCATAGCACTTATGACTACTTGAGATATATTTGATTATTTATGGTCTGTCTCCCATACTGGAATGAAAGCTCCACATGGGCACAAGCTTTGTTTCAATGCGTTCCTAGTGCCTAGATCAGTTCCTTGCAAGTGGTAGGCGCTTAGTGTATATTTAGCGAATTAATGGAACAGAGGGAGACCAGAATAAAATTTATCTTCACCAACCCATCCCTTTCTCCTTCCGACTTCCTAGTTATCTAGGCTCAGTTATCTGTCTGATCTATGAATTTTACCTCTCTTTAAGGGTATCAAATCAATAAAAAATCACGGTGGTATAAAGTATCATACCACACCCACAGGTTACCTAAACCCTAGTCATACTGAACTACTCCTAATTCCCAGTTACACCCTTTTATACTTAGAGCCTTAGCATGCTGTTCTGCTGCCGAGAACAGCTTCCTCCCCAACCTAAATTCGTAGTCATCCTTGAAGTCATGTCACCTCCTCTGTGGAACTTCACTTGACATATATGCCCCATTTTAGTACCAGTCACTTTCTTTTGTATGTACTCAACACTTTTCATATTGTATTGTAATCAAGTTTGTTTTTAAACATGCATCTCCCTCTGACTAGAATGCCAGTTCCTTAAGAGCAGGCTGTTTTATTCAAGTTTGTTTTTCCAGGCTACAGAATACCACCTGCCCTATACCATCACCATTCATTCCCATTTCTTCTTATGTTCATCCCTTTCTTGGCACTTTGGTAAGTCCAGTATCTTGGTGCAGGAGTTTATTTGTCATCTTAGACCTAGACTATCACAGTAGCCTTCTATCTTGTGTCTCTCTGACTCTGTCTTTAAATAGAGTCACTATACACATGTCAGTTTTTTTCTTTAACATTATATTGATATAGCATCACCTTCAGTGCTCCCTGTGATATACAACATAAACAGTGCTTTGGCCTGTTTTTTTTTGAACCATTATATTCTGGTCATTTCAGACTGATTTCACAATCAATTTTACAGTAATTTTTTTTTTAACTACTAAATTTTACAGTAGTACTCACTTCATCAGGGAATACTACTGCTTTAGATAAATTGATGAACTTACTGTTCCTAAAATAAGTCTATGTTTTCTTATGTGTTTCACACCTCACACTGATTCCTTTATCTGGAATACCTTCTTCCATCATCTTCTTTACTGATATCTTTTCCCTTCTTTACTGATATTGTTTCCCAGGGCCTAGTTCAAATGAACCTTTTTGGTGGAATGGCTGGTACAGTAAGTAAGGGATTTACAAGAAATAGGAGGGAGAAGAAATTAAATTTTTCTTTAGGTTTGAAGTGAAACGATTTTGGATCCTTGGGAAATAGAACAGGGCAACTGGTGCAGTCTAAATCAGTTACTGTTTCCCCTCAATCCAGGGTATGTAAGAGACGGGTGGAAAGGGTGGAGGGAAAAAGGGAGAAAGACACCAACTAATTCTCTCCTTTTCTCTCTTCTTAGTTGGCAATTGGATATGGCTGAATGCGGCATCTTTTACAGTTAGCTGCCTTCTAAATATATGGTGACGATGCAAAATACTTGTATAGCTCTTTCATGAAGGAAAATATAAATATTTGGTCATACTAATAGGGTACCAGTAAAAAATATATAGTTAACTCGCTGAACCCCAATCCAGAGACAAAGATAATCCAAACATATTCAGAACTTTAAAACTTTTAAACAGTAGCACATTTCCACCTTAGCAGCCTCAACAGTCTGTGATGTAGTCCCTAATAAAAACTCTATTAAAAATAACTATGAGAGAATACCAGCCTTAAAACCATATGTTATATTCCTGAAATCTGAATCAGTCTTATTTTAGGCATGGTGATAGGATCTTAATAAAACATTTTCATATAGTCATATGTTTTATTTCTTGTGTAATAAAACTATTTCATCACTGAAGATCTAAATTTTACAGCAAAAAATCCCAACAAAAGCAACCTGAAAAATTAGAGAATAGAAGACAAAATCTCTTATAATAAAGTGCAATCAATAGTTAACAATAATTAGACTGTGATGAACTTTGATAAGAGTAAATAAAATGGAACTTGTTCAAACTAAAAATTTGTAGTGAAGCACTATTCTTTATGACGGTATACTCATACAGGATCCAAAACGCAGAAAACCCACTTTATGTCTTATAGGGAGATAGGAACTAGTTATAACTCTCATAGTCTCAAAGCTGAAATTCAAGAACTGGTAAAATGGTGATTTCTTGATTCAAATTTATTCAGTGGCAAAAAAGAAAAGTGACAACAATATTTTTGATATTATGATGTTCTGCTCAGGACAGTTCCCCTCCTTGGACAGCACTTCCCTCCTACCCAAATCCGAATTCATTCTTCAATGTTCCTTTATCTATTTCAATCCCATTGTCTTTAACTTTATGCAATTAAGGATACTGTTCTTTTGACACAATCACATTCTGCCTAATTTCTCACACGTATTTTATCTTGTGTTTCCCCACCCTGAATGAAAGGTCCTCATAAGCAAGTACAATATTTTATAATTCTTTGTTATTATGCAGCACTCAGTATAGTGCTTGAGAATCTATTTCCAAAAAGTACTCCAATCTTCAGAATAAGTCAGAACAGATTTTAAAAGAGTTCTGAGCATGAACATACAATAATTCAGTTAGTTTGGTAAAAGAAATAAGATTAAATCTATATAATTGACATAAATGCTAATATATTGAACAGGTAGTCTCAAAGTTTTATATATAGCTGTATTTTCTAGAATTATTGAATGAATGTTAGTGAGTCACTCTTCTAAAAATTTAGATGGATAGATTTTTAGGCTGTTAGTGCTAGAAAATAACTCAGAAGTTATTTCTAGTCCAACCAACCTCCTTTTGATGACAAACTTAGGTCCAATGTTTATTAACTTACTTGTCATAGTTATTGCTAGAATTTATTCTAGAACCCTTGTTTCTTGAATTCCAGGCTAATCTTCTTTTTACGAAATCATACCATCTCTTCTGGACAGTATATACTAAACATATGACTGCTATAGGTAGACCTTATAATAACAAAGTTATTTACTAAAATAACTCTCAGTATGAAAAATTAGGAATTATAAAATCAAGCTTGAGTTAAATATCACTTATCCCTATTTATGATTATACATATTTAGATTACAGGAAAAGGAAGAGAAAACTCAGCAGAAATTTGCATTATATAATACTTTTAAATACACGTATTACTTTCAGATAAACAGAGATCAAATAAAGTCCTTAAGTCCCCAGTGGAAAATGATAATGTAAGAGACTGTATGAAAGCCAACTAGTATATCTGTTTGTTGTCACATACATTATTGCCTCTGAAGAGCTTAGTTACCACTACTTCCCTTAAGACGTCCTTTCCTGCCAGGGTTGTCAGCATGGCACAAAGGCCTTTAAAAAAGGTCTTTTAAAGGTTGCTTTAAAAATTAGCCTAAACCACAAGATGCAAGTTTACACATCATTAAAATAATTTATAAAAATGCTGGCATTTACTTCAACTGATTAGAACAGAAGTAATTCTCCATTGTAATGCTAACAGTAGTAATATTTTCTCAGTAATATGTTGTTCCTACCTTATGCAGGCGTGACCTAGAGATTTGCAAAACTCCTCAATCGCCAATGCTTTTGTACCATTCATATAAGAAAGATAGCCAGGGATGAAGATAATTCCTGGACTTTTGCCTTTTAGCTTCTTATAAGCCAGGTTTGGAAGGTCTGGTCGATTAAGGAATGAGAGTGACGTCTTTTGTCTACAAGCTAAACAAAGTACACAGAAAGTAAACTATGGTTTGTAAATTCAGTCTTTGGAAAACCATATATATTTTCGATCTTAACTTTCTTATCTCAATGAATTGATGTTAAATACTATTTCCATTTAATAGAAAAAACAAGAACAGACTCAAAGTATGAAGTTAGTAAGTCTGTACATGAGATCTCCAGTTTTAAAATCATGCCAACATCAGTAACTTCTTTGAGCGAAGTCCAATCTTCATTCTTCCAAAATACACAATGAGGTAGGAATTTCAAGGCAACAAAAGACAGAGACTAATTGAAAAACATTTTCCTGTTGCTGCTTTATCATCTGTCCTAAACAGTATCAATCAACATTCAGATTTACCTGCAATAGTTTCAGTCCTCTCTTGTGAGATTTTTGGTTTTGTTTTTAAATTTATTTTTTGCTTGATAAGTTTCACATCCCCTATTTCCTTTTTTTTTTTTGAGACAGGGTCTCACCTTGTCACTCAGGCTGGATGCAGTGGTACAATCGTAGCTTACAAGCAGCCTGGACCTCCTCGACTCCCCAAGCTCAAACCATCGTCCCGCCTCAGCCTCCCCAGTAGCTTCACTACACACATGTACCACCACACCTGGTTAATTTTTGTATTTTTTTGTGGAGACAGGGTCTCACTATGTTGCCCAGACTGGTCTCCAACTCCTGGGCTCAAGTGACCCGCCCACCTTGGCCTCCCAGTGCTGAAATTACAGGTGTGAGCCACCATGCCTGGCCTTGCATCCCCCACTTTCTTGGGGGTCAGGGAAGAAACAGGTTTGGTCTGCCCTTGGAAAATTATTTCAAAGGAGGAGGTGCTGTGCCCTTTTTATTACTGACTCCCATCCACCTGCCCACCCATCTGCCCACCTCAACCAAGAAATCATGAGCTGTGGTGACAACTCATAATTTTATTATCAGCTGAAGTGGGTTCAATGAGTAGTTTCTTTAAAAATAACGTATGATAATATTGTTTTTGGAAAGAGATTTCTTGTAGACCTATGCAATCACTTTGCGTTTTATTTGTTGGTTTGGCTTTCTGTAAATGGTACACACAGATTTTAGTGTAATCTAAGTACAACAGTACAATTGGTGAACTTTATAAGATTATTCTATTTCACTGTTTTTCAAATTTTCCCCCATTATAAAATCCATACTTGCTCTTAAGTAACAAGTAGATATTTTTTTTAAAAGAGTCATTTATAATCCCACCTCTTCTTTCCAAAGACAGTAGGTTTGTGTACTTCCTTAGAGTCTTTGGCCTAACACATTTTCTTTTTTCTTATTAAATGAAGCCGTCCTCCACTTTGAAAATTTCTCAGTCTTGAGAATCCATGTGTGCTGCTAAAGTTTTCCCCATTTTGTAATTAAGAAGTTGATTTTTTAAAGATGTAATTGAAGGCCTTAAAGCTATCCTTTTTTACATAAAAGCTTGTTTCAAAGTATAGAGAAATATGCCAAATTTAAAACTTTTGGTAAGGGCCAGTTACGTTGATCCACTGATGTTCATTTCCCATCTACTCAGTTGAGCACTAAAAAAAATTCTTACTATCCTCTTCCAGAAATCACCTCTCAAAACATAATTTCCCCCTGAGATGATTACAATTTACTTAGTGTAAGTTCTAAGAAGACCGATTCATATAATTATATCCATAAATCATTTTTGAACATAAGGATTAGTTCAAAGCCTGGTGCATAAGTGCTCAATGAATGTCTGCTAAACATATGAAATAATATTATACTCTGGTTAACGAACTGACATACTACACTTTGCTAGGAGTATCTGCATGTGTAACATGCCTTTTGGTTGCGTACAATTAAATGCAAGTTAAACTGATTATAAAAGTTTAATTATTGGATACAAAAATCTCCATACAAAAGATCTCTGCCATGACATTAATTACCACTCCAAGCACAATGGTGTCAACAACACACAAAGCCAAAAAAACAAAAGGATCTAATTCAAAGACTATATATACATATACGAGGTTCTCTGATTTTTGGCCCAAATTCTAGTTTCCTTTGTGCAATAATGATTACGATTCTTTTCACTGAGTGGGTGCAGCAAGAAGACAAAACTAGAAATTAGGCTTATGAGGGCGTCTACACTTTTACAAAGAACATACCTCACATTATTAGGTTCCCTCAAGTCAAAGGAGAGTCGGTCTAAGCATTTTAGGAGTCGCAATCTACAAACTCCTAGAAGTAACTAATAATAATGCATTAAACGCATATTTTAATTTTTTCTAGTGTTGGCGTTTAATGCAGGGGAGGCAGATAGGGAGCAGGAGCTCTTTAAACTGCACAGTGTAAAACGCCGGCGAGGGCCCGGGATGCCCAGAATGCCGCAGGGCCGCGGCAGAGTTCTCCTCACAGCCTTCCCCATGAGTCTACTAAGCGCCTAGAACTGGGGTGTTGAGAAAGGGGAAACAGCATTTTTGAACCGGGCGCCAAAGACGCACCGCACAGGCACAGGAACTGACGGAACCCGAGGCGTTCGAAAGAACGCATCCTACTCCCGCCTTTCAGACACTGACCTGGGAGCCACCGTGGCGCCCGCTGAGGTATCAGTGCAAGCAGCGCGCCCAGGCCACGGTGGGGACCGACGGGGGCGGCTGCCCAGCCCCAGCTCCGATAAGGTACCCAGGCCGCCACCGCTGCCAAGCGCGCAACCGCCATCTTCCTAGTTGTCCCTGAACCCTGCAGTATCCCACAGACGCGCACGGTACGCAACGGAACCGAGGTTGCGCATGCGCTTCAGGCTGGAAGGCGGAACTTGCTGGGTTCCGCTTGCGAAGAGCGCGCATGCGCAGCGCGTCGTGGCTCTTTCCTTTGGACTGTTGGTTCTACTAGTAGCGGGGTTTGGCTTGGGGCCTTTGGGATGTTTTGAGTGGCGTCGGGAGGCTGCCCTATCAGCGGGCTGATAGATACTACAGGGCTGGAAGCTCAGAAAGCAACCCTATCCAACGGTCCTAGATGGGAAACCGTCTCCTGTCGAGGACACCAGGCTTGCTGCATCACCTGCAATCCCGCCGACCGCGTGACAGTTTTAACCTGTACTGGAAATGCTCCCAAGATCTGACATTCATCTCGCCTGTATAACCTGGAATGGTATCGGACATTCCCCGCTCTAGATCTAGATGCCCGATTAATAAAATATTGAATTATCTTGGCCCCTTCCTCGTGCTCTATGCAAAAATAAATTTCACTAAAAAAATGATTTCAACGGAAGAATACAACTGAGACGATTAGATAAATTTTAGGAGAATATTATATAATCCGGGGACAGAAGGGACTTTCTAAACCAAGATTTCAAAACCCCAGCATCATAAATAAAATATATACTTGTATACGAGTTTAAACTTTTCGAATGGCAAAAGACACCTTAAGAGCTTAGAAAAATGGATTTTGTAGCATAGATACACTAATACTTCTATTCAGCCTGCTCCTAGAAATAAAAAAATGTAATTCCAATAAAATTGGCCAACAGCTATAAATAGGCACCCCATATAAGGAAACATGATGCTCAAACTCACTAAATGAAAAACTGGAATTTAAAAAATGCCTTTTCCCCCCATTCACTTGGCAAAAAAGAAATAATTGGCAAGAATGCTAGACACTGGCACTTATGTATGATTGCTAGGAAGGTGAATTGCTAAAATTTGTTGTCAAGTAATATGGCCACATCTACAATTTTAAAATATGCATCCATTCCAGTGCCTTTTAACACAGTGGCACCAGTTTGTGATTATCCTATAGAAAACAACACTAGTTCTTAAGACTGCATATTATCTACTACACCGTTTTTAGAGGCAAAGAGAAGAAAAAAATGGGAATGGCTAACAATAGAAAAATAGTTGAATAAATTGTAGTACAAGGGTTTCCAGACTCCAGCTCTGAATACCTTTCAAACTAATTCCTGGGGGCCTCAAGCATCAACCATGAAGTTTTACGTAGTAGTTTCCTATTTAAAAGTTATGGTGGCTTGTGTAATACTTTGAGTACATATAAGATAGTAAAGTAACATTTTTTATCCTGGTTATAAATTTGGGGGGCAGTAATTGGTACCAGAATTAAAGGCAAAGTTTGCATATAGTGAATTCAGCATGTCTTTGGAGTCGTGAGAACCTGGACTGTTGGCACAGTCTGGAACAGGTAGATAAATAAAGACTGAATAGATCTCTTTCTTGAGAGGTGGGATGCCTATCTACTAAGGACATATAGTTAAGGATAGCAACTTGATTTCAGGACATACTGCAAAAGATGTTGAGCTGTGTTGCCCATTCTCCATTACACCTGTTGTAGACTCTAAGGGACTAAATCACTAAGATGATGCCTGATGCATGCCATTTCATCATCCCTTATATCTCGTTTTGGTTTTTTGTTGGTGTATTTTTTTTTTTTTTTTTGAAATAGAATCTCGCTTGTCACCCAGCCTGGAGTGCAATGGGGCGATCTTGGCTCACTGCAACCTTGGCCTCCTGGGTTCAAATGATTCTCCTGCCTCAGCCTCCCGAATAGCTGGGATTACAGGCACCCGCCACCATGCCTGGTTAATTTTTGTATTTTTCATAGAGACGAGGTTTCACCATGTTGGCCAGGCTGGTCTCAAACTCCTGACTGCATGTGATCCACCTTCCCTTGGCCTCCCAAAGTGCTGGAATTACAGGTGTGAGCCACCGCATCCAGCCCATCCCTTATATCTTAAACACTTCTCTCTGCATGTTTTGGATAATTGCAAATGTTCTCAATCACTTCTCCCCTTTTTCTTCCCCTTTATTTTTGCAAGTCTTCTTGCATTTTACTTGCAGTAGGATGAAAAATCTGACTGGTCATAGTGGGAAATCACTGCACAGAAAAAGCGGAGAAACCCATGGATTATTTTCTGTATTCACTCTTGCTGTCTAACAAATTAGAAACAATCATGGCTAGTGGCAAGTACAGATGCTTTTACAGACAGTAATGAGCTTGAAGTAGACAAATTTTTTCCACTCTGAGTACTTATTGTCAATGTTGACTTCATCAATATATAAAGGGGGCAAAGGGACATACTGCTGAGGGAAGCTTCTGTCTCTGAAATCTGCTGCCTTAGTTCAGGGAGACAAATGAGATCCCCAGCAAATAAATCTTTATATCACATTTACATGATTTTTTTTTCCTGTAAGATAAAAGGATAAGTAAACACACTCCTTGCAATCCCCAGCAATAATTGTATTTGTGTAAACAGACAACAATAAGATGTTAGATTTTTTTCAGGGTTCATTTCATTTTGTAAGCAATAGGATATAACCAGAGATACTTCTATTGGAATACTTCAGTTTATACACTACAAATCGTAATGTTAGCACACAACAAACTTTATGTAGTTTCTACAACTGTCATGTGCGATTAATTCATCCTCCATCATACTACAGACAGGTAACTTCAAAATGAGAGATGAGTTTATTTTCAAATGTGAAATCAGATAACATTTTAATCCAAACTCAATATATTTAACACACATATTTAAGAGGCTTACTACATCATGCAATTGTATTAGAACACCTTTACAATCCTATGAAGAGAGTACAGTGCAGAAAAGTCGTATCTTTACATTAACCAACAAAATCTTAGCAATTACATTTTAGTCTTACATCACTACAGGGTTTAAAAGTGATCACTGCAAAATCAGATTTAAAAAATGTCTTCCACAATCATGATTTTTGCCCTTCGTTGTTCAAGTAAAATCTTGTGTCATCCAGTTGCAAAATCTTATTATTGACAACATGTATACGTGTCTACAAACCACACTGCAAATTAACAAAAGAATTGTACCCAGTCAGGCTGACAAAGTTTAATAAAGAGACACTTCTAATCTAATCATTTCATCTTGTAAGTAATATCTTTACTCTACATCTATTCATTTGCCATGTTTTAGGAAAGAGCACATTCATACTTTCAAGCATGCAAAACATGATAAACTAGAATAAATGGCACTGGAAAAACCATTATAAAAGAGACTTGCCTGAAGTCGTTTCATTTGACAAAAATTAACTAAAAAAAGGCTAATTGTAAAAAAAAAACCATAATAAAATAATACATTATAGAGAACATTAAGTTGAACTTCATTTGCCACTTTGTAGAACTACACCACTTCTGCAAAGAAGTATTTTAATTGGTCTGTTCTTTGGTGAAAACAGAGTTATGATTTCATAGTTATGTCTAGGCAGCAGTTAGCAGGTGTGCTCCAAAACAAAAAGGAATCAGACAATCTAAAGGACATTGGCTACTGGTTGCCTTTATTCTCAGCACCAGGAATGCAGAAATATTCAGCAAAACAAGCTCCTAACACCAGATATTCTCTTTATTTAAAATTGTTCAACATGACAGAATGCCTGTTATGTAACATGACTTTTTTCTAAAACACACAGCCTTTTGCTCTTTCTTCTTTTCCAAAAAGTGGTTTAATATATATATATACACACACACATATATACACATATATAAATATATATGTATAAATATATATATATATATATAAGCTTACACCAGTGGTGACACTGCAAAGTCAATTTCCTGGGCATTTGATGGCATCAGAATACCATTTTGCAATATACAGAACAATACAAAATGCAGTTCATCACTTGCAGTTACTACTGTTCCACAGAAGTCAGGTCAGGTCTTTGGTTTTGGTGCAGTACTTAAAAAATTAAGGCAAAACTCCTCCTAAAATGTATTTCCCTCCAAGCCCTTATTTGCTTATGTTTACAAAATAACTGTCAACAAAATGCTACCTTTTTTTAAAAAAGCCAGTTGATTACCAATAATGTCAATGCCAATGATTTGGGTGATAAAGTTATTCTATATTTCCAAGTATATACAGATATTCTGTAACCTATTTAACCAAATGCAACAACTGATTAAAAACAGTTTATAAGAAATGTTCCTGTAAGTGATCCAATTTATCAAAATAGTGTTTTCTTTCTCATGAAAGCTTCAATTCTTTTGCTATTTGTTATCAAGGTTTGTGTTAAAACCCCTTCTTTCCTTTTTACAAATAACTTGTCTTGATATGAAAGGAGTTCTGAGTGTTTACAGTTCAAGGGATGGATCTGTTGGGTTTTCTCATCCGGGATTGAATATGGCTTCATTCTTGTAAGAGATTATTGCAGTTTGCCCTGAAGTGGACTGTTGCCTCAGTTCACTACAACAAGAAGTGAGTGTAACCTTCTGCCCCTGTAACTATAACATCCATCCAGATCCGCATGGCTTCTGGCGATGGGGCCACCATATAATAGATTCTGTCATGAGTCTTGACGCTAAAGGTGAGTAACGGATTAGGACTCTAAAATTCAAAAAAGGAAAAAGAATGTAAAATAAACATCTTAAAATACAACATTAAACAACACAGACATGTGAAGACTTCTTTAAAACTTTCAATTTATTAAATTTACAAAGGCATAATTACTTTTGCTCTACTGTCACTCACACACCCGCCCCAGAGCCTTTTTCAGGATCGAACATGGAACATTCTGGCCTTTCTGAACAAGAAATCTCAGACAGAACTCACAAATTATTTCAGCAGCTAGTTTGTAAAGCTCTAGCAGGGTACCTATCTGAGAGTAGGAGCTTAATAAACAGTAGCTGTTACTCTTAGCCCTACTAGGACATGCTCATGATACCCCTCTTAACTATATGGTAGCTTCTTTTTAGAAACCTGGCAGTCACTTTGTAGGGTTTCCCAAACCATTATGTCCAGAATGTTTCCTCAATTTGCTATGACATTTTTTTCCTCAAGAAGATCAGCCATCCCACTCCGTGTTTACTTTTCCAGCACCATTCTGATCATATCTATCTGTTATATCAGAACATCAACTTCAAACTTCTTAGACCCCAAAAATATTTTTCCTTTCTTAATTATGCATTCAAATTGTAGGAATTTAGAAGACTGATGTTTACCTTATTAGCATTCTTGAGGTGATCATAATACACTTCTTCAATGGCTTGAAAGTATATTACTCCTTTCAATTTAGTTTCATGCTTGTCTGCAAAGACAGATGAGTGTTAAATACTTTATCGCCACCGAGGAACAGAAAAAGTAATAATTTTATTACAATTATAATCATTAAAATATTTACAAAGTATTTAATTTATCTAAGATTAATTCAGAGAACTTGGGCTAGTGCACGAGGCCCCTTCTATCTATATTGGAAAAATAAAAAAGAAAAGCCATAAAATTACTAGCTGCAAACCAAAGAACTTGATGACTGCCTAAGGCTCTCCAGTCGATCACCTATCAAATTTTTTATTCAGGGTGCTTGATTTTTCGCCCCCACCTCCGTTTTCAACAGAGCTTCAACAAATAATTTATTGTCCTTTCAATGCAACAATTTCCAAACTGTTTTCAAAGATTTCATCCCATTTACCATAAAAACAAAGCAAAACAAAAACAACCAAAATATAACTCAAACATATAGCACCACTCTGTGATCTGTTAAGTTCTTGAAATATTTTGTAACTTAAACTCTGCAAAGATCACAGTGCATGTCAGCATATTAAAGAATTTTAAAAGCATGAATGAGGAGGTAGGGAAAGAGACTCTATCATACCCTAGTAGTGGAAGTGCAAATAAGACAGCCTCTTTGGGAAGACAGCTGGTAAATGGGCCGGCCGCGGTGGCTCACGCCTGTAATCCCAGCACTTTGGGAGGCCGAGGAGGGCGGATCACGAAGTCAGGAGATCCAGACCATCCTGGCTAACACGGTGAAACCCCGTCTCTACTAAAAATACAAAAGAAATTTAGCCAGGCGTGGTGGCGGGCGCCTGTAGTCCCAGCTATTCGGGAGGCTGAGGCAGGAGAATGGCGTGAACCCCAGAGGTGGAGCTTGCAGCGAGCTGAGATCGCATCACTGCACTCCAGCCTGGGCGACAGAAGGAGACTCCATCTCAAAAAAAACCAAACAAAAATAAAAACAAAACACACACATACACACACACACACACACACACACACACACACAAATCCTCTTACTAAGCAATTCCACTTCTAAAATGTTACTGCATAAGATCTGGTGTGTGTGCAAATAAATGTACATGGATTTGTGTTTGTTGTGGCACAAGGTTGCAAAAGATCTGCTTGAGCTTTAATAGGAGACTGATTCAATTACAGACCAGCCGTACAATGAAATCTATAAAGCTACTGAAATGATGGAGGTAGATCTGTATCTGCTCCTAAGGAAAAAACCCTTGAAATACTATCACATGAAATAGGGTATGAATAGAATGAATAATTTAGTCCCAAATATATAAAAGAAGAAAATATATACATACTGAAACATATATAAAAATGAATAGAGAAAATCTAAAGCAATATTTCTAGCTTGAAAATGAGAGCTCAGAACTTTCGTGATGATAAAGAGACTTACTTTCATCATACAAATTTTTGTTATATTTTGAATTTTTTACTAGGTGAATGTCCCTTTTTAACTACAAAAAGCTAGTCTAAAAAATAATGGCCCTGAAAGGTTCAGCAGAGAGTAAAACTATTTAATTGCATTTAATCCAAAATATCCTAACCTATTTGCCCATGGACTATAATTTTTTGTTTGTTTTTCCTATTCCTTGTGAAACACTGTTTTAACTGATACCACGTTCAGTAAGTTTCAGTCAATTTGCAGACATATTTTCTAGGCCTCGGTTTTCTTTAGAGACTCTCCTAAAGATCCTAGTTAATATGCAGGAGGCCAAGGACAGAGACCAGGGACATGAATAACACAGAGTCCTGGGACTTTGCCAGTCAGCGTTCACATTTGCAGCTCCTTCACAAGTACACGGCCATTTCCCTCACTGACAAGCAGAAGGGACGTGGCTCCTGTAGGGTAAAGTACAGCCTGAATTGTGATCTGGATGACTGCCTGCAGACTGATCTATTCCTGGGCTTGTTGTGTATGAGAAGCAGGGGTGGGGGTAGGAGTGGACAAAGCTGATAGGTGATGACCGTAAACAGAGCTGAATGGGTAGCGTTTGTCCAACTAGGTCTCACCAGCCAGTTATATCATAAATACATATTAAAAAGTGAATGAAATATAATTTTTGCCTGTTTTTTTTAGAATTAGGGTTCTGGGTAATTTTTCACATACCAAGAAGGTTTTGGTATTTTTAAAAAATTGAAATCAGTCACCAGCAGGTTGGGTTTGGAAAGACACACTTACATGGGTCTGAAGCTTGGAGCTTAGGTTTGAAGCAGTTGGCCACGGCATTAAACCACTCACCCGGCCGATAGATGAGAGAATGAAATAAGGCTCACAGAGAACAGGAGCACAGAAGAAGAGTGAAGCAGTTTTGTCTGAAGTTCTTTAAAGTTGTATTTTTGGAAAATTCTGGGTGAGGTTTTCTGAAGACAATACCACATCATACAGTTTTGTTTATGCAGTGTGTAGATACCAAATTGTATTAACTGAAGAAAGCAGCTCTGGATGTTTATAAAACCCAATGACAAAAAGCCCTAGAGAGGTAAAGCAGGGGACCTGGGACGGGCAGGCCACTGGCTTCAGGCCACTAACTTCTGCAGTAACTGGAACCTCATCCAAAGTGCTCCTCAGTGAAAGGCAGGCATTCCCCTACCGGCTCATCTTCCAAATTCTGGGGCTCCTGAGCCACTCTTTCCTTTCTTCCACAGGCTGCTTGGTTTCTCACACTTCTCCTTGTAAACATAACCTGACCTCACTGGATTGATTAAATGACTAGACTGTTACTTATATTTTATTGTATCGATACATTTTACTATTCCTGGTGATGCTCATAAATACTGATAGTCACCCCAAAACAGGGTTTTTTCATAACATCTGGTATGACACCACTCTTTTTTGGCACCTGAAAAGAAAGCAGAGCTATACCTGTACTAAAAATGGACATGTTTCACAGGTGATCCCAGAAGAAATAAGAGGTTCTTAAGAAGTATGCCAGTGGCACTAATATTCCTGCATTTATATAAGATTCGGTAGGGTATGTTTCTTGTCAGCCGACATTTGAGAATCCAAAAATATTTCAGTCACTTAATAAATACTACTGATCACTAGTTTACCAACGAGCTTTATTGTCTGTGCTTAAAAGACCATTCTAGTTTATGAACTATAGTTGAATGATTTTCAGCTACAGTTGCCTAATTGTGTGTGACTTAAATGGGACGTATGACAATCAATCAATCACAAACCACACCCCCTTTTTTTTCTGGTGTGGTAGTTTGAAAGGCAATATTTTTTCTGATCCCACCCTATAGTGATAGTACTTCTAGTATGATATTGTGATGTTTCATAAAATGCAGTGAACATAAACAACTTGTTACTTAAATAAAGAATGCATTAAAACAGAAGAACAAATAAAAGGAACTATTTTGATCCAAAGAATAAATTTTACTTAATATTTATTGGGACCTGAGTTTACTTCAGAAGTAATATAGACCGCTTCGCGCTTTTTAAAGTAACATATAATGTCTATTATTTCTAGAAAGGAAATTCATATCATATGGACTATATAATCTAAATATAAAATAATGTACATCTATAAATCTAATGCTGCCATTAATTCTGTTATGTATCAACCTACCTATTTACACTGAATTTCAATTGCCTTTGCTCTTTAACACAGGGTTCTTGTTTTGAGTATATGGCTTAAATTTTTTTTATCACCCACCTGCATAATAAGAGAATGTTCGCTTGTTCCGATCAAAAACAAACCAACGTTTTTTCCACGTTTTAATTTTCCCACCCATTTTGATGAGGAATCCTCGGCAGGTCTTCTCTGTGATTGATACATGGTAACAGGTGTCAATATTGTGGCCAGCAGTCTCTACGTGGCTCCGCAAATCAAAGTCTTCCTTCCGGACAGGCAGGTAGCGTGTCAAAGGACGAGCCTGGAAAAGTGCAAAACTCATTGCATCTACAGCTATTTGTTTTGTTTTAGGTCACAGATGTTTAGAAGCAGAAATTAACTGTAAAACCTAAGCTTTAAAATGCCCATATGATTAAAAGAGCTTAAGATAAACAAAGCACTTATCATTTGGAGTCTAAAAAGTGGATAGGATTTTCAGAAAGATGCTGTAATATGTAGGGGAGAGGTAGATAAATTCAGAGACCTGATTCTATTCCTTAAGATGGGCAGTTGAGAAAATGAAAAATGGTCATTTATCGTAGTGTAAAAGATGTACTTTGCTCTTAACAAACACAGAGTAATGAAGTATGAAGTTTTCTGGGCTGCTCCCTGCAGATGAGGACTGCTTCACCGCTAAGTTTCCAGAAGTTGTCCCTGCCACAACTTAACAATCATTCTCAAGTAATCTCAAGCATGACATGATTGATTGAACACTATTTAGTAAGTACGGCCCCCACAGGATCCCACAAAGCTGTACTTGTCAGTTTACATATATTCCGATAGAAATTGACAGCAGAGGTTTATATTTTGAAAAGTAAAGCTAAAATAAAGACAGAAGGGGAATCAAAATGACCTAATGTAATGAACTGTCCAGGACCAGATGCCAAAGGGATGTATTTAGATGTCTTTCATGTTACCGATGGCTGGTATGAAAGCTCCTCCAATCTAGGAAGCATATATCTCCATGGGTGATAGTTCTAAAATGGTGTCTTATTTTACGCTGTTAAATAACTCCACCTCTTTGCCTTGGGGAAATGACCTAACTACATACTTGGAGGCAACACTTATAATCAGGATTAAAATAGAATTGTGCTTTTTGGTTTGGCTTCAGATAGTAAACAAGCATGGATGACTTTCACTGCAAGTCAAAATTTGGCACAGGGTTGGGCATGATGAAATAAAATAAACAAATTTTACTTTCTACTTTTCCTTCAATACTTAACATTTGATTGTGTGGTACTTTGGTTGTAACAGATGCTACAGGCTTACTAATACCTTGAAACACACAAAGTCTTAAAGATAGTCTCTAACTGCTATACTATCAAACAGCCAGCAACCACAAAGAATAAAAGTAATGGTATCTTTTGCCTTTGAGTCTAGCGAATCTTGATAAAATGGAGTTGAGCTTTAAATTACATAGTACTTAACAAAACTTTATGTTAGTTTCTCAGAAAACATATTATGTAAGCAGCTATAGTGACAAGAACAGAGATTCAAAATCTACGACGACCAAGATAAGACATTAAACAAAATGTGTGGTTTCTCCAAATTTTGCTTGAGTACAAGCTTGTTCACAGGTGTGGAGGCCCTAGTGTAGCAAAGAGGAACACGTGTTACAACACAGCGCTCAGAAAAAAAAACAAAACACTACCACCACGACCAAGACACTGGGCATGGTGAAAAATCACCCTGCTCTAGATTGTTTGCTTGTAAAAGACGGCTTGGTAGAACCTCTTCCATTCCCCAAGCAAAGGTTTCAGTTCAGATGTTGTATTTGTTTTCAGCAGCAAATCCAGTTGCATTTTTAAAAGCTGCTCAAAAAAAAAATTCTCTTTTTAAAATGTACTGCAAGGAATGGGTGGAAGAAAAAGTGCTGCTCCTGGCAAAATGTTCCATGCATGACTAAGGAAAAGTGTCATTTGGTTGGTGGTTCCCTAAGAGTTTTGAAATGAACTCACATTTTTTTTTTTTTCCCACAGGAATGCACACTCTTCTCTTAACCTGTACATGTCAAGTGCTAATGCTCAGTGCCCAGGAAAGCATCCTCAGACACAGAATAGCTGTCTTTTAGGAACTGCCACCAGGGGGCAACCTGCCCTTATCCATTCAGATTGACCAACCAACCTGTGCCCTTTGTTTCTCCCTTATTTTTACTTCCTTTTCTATTAACTTCTGCCTCTGGCTAGTTTCTTCCTGTAATCGTTTTTCCAGGATTTCCCGGCGTCGTTTTTCTTCTTCCAGGGCTCGTTTTTTGGCTTCCATTTCCCGTTCCTAAACATTATGCATAATAATGATTATTTTAAGACATACTGGTTATACTTGAATGGTTCCAACCAATATAAAAAAGATAATTCTTACTAGACAAATCTTGGTTTGTAGACTAGTCTCTTATAATACATAACCTACAAGAAAACAACTCATAACCATGCCTGGTATAGCTTCCAAAATCATCATCTGCAGAAAAGCAACCACTAAATTTAATTAACAATTAAATTGTGGTCTTTAGTGAAAATCCAGCTTGCTAATATATTCAGTCATTTCATCATTTCATATCAACCAGCAAGTCTCCCATTTTAAATAAAAAGCCTCACAAACCGTCCCCAGCACTTATCATGTGATTTAGCCTGTCTTTTGACTACTGTCTTCTAACTGAAGGCCATGGTCCCGCTAATTCCTGTTGTTGCTCTGTAGCTTCCTGGCTGAAGGTCACAGAGGAAGCATATGGGGAAGTTAGAAAAGGAAAGGAGGTGCCCATGAGGGCAGGATGTAAAAGCATTTTGGGGGATTCCTAAGGAAGTCAGATTCTGACTTGAAATACAGTCATAATAACGTGGGATTTTAAATATTACAATAGTGCAGTTAGCACAAGCTGGGAAGGATGAAATAATGCATAAAGACATGACATTCCTCCCTGCTCCTTGGCAGGAACACAAAGCAGCCATCAAAAACAACAACAACAAAAAACTACAAGCGTTCATTTTGGTCTATGTCAATACTATATATTTCAAGTTATGGGAAATCCACTGCAGTAGAGAGCCTTAGAAATCATCTAACACCTTTATTTTTCAGATAAGAAAATGAGACTGAGAAAGGTTGAGTGATTATTCAAGATCACACAGCTCCTTAAGGAGGAGTATTGCCTGATGCCAAGCGCAGGGCTCCTGCACCATGGTATTACAGACCTCCGGCATGAACATATGAAGCTTACCCTGGATTCGAGCAGCCGCGTCCTTTCTGCATGAGCCTGCTTCAAAAGTCTCTCCATTTCTTCTATTCTAGCAATATTTGAAGTGCTGGCACTGAATCAAAAACCAAAGCCTTTTAAGAATATTGGTTTAGACTGAGAAATCTCTCTAATACACACACACACACACACACACACACACACACACACACACACACACACGGGGTCAAGGGAGGTGCATGATAAAATCCAAGCATACGTAATTTAAAGAATGTTACTTACGAGTCATTGGACCGAAGAGGCAAATCAATTCAACTCTGAAAATTGTAGGTTACACTGACTTACCTCAGTTTAGAAGACAAAATATAGGCAAGCAAAATAATGCCAATGCTTTACTCATAGGTAAATAAACCAAAACCAAATCTTACAAAGTGTGAGTTCTAAATGCTCCCTCCAAAGTCTAAAAATAATGGCCCATGAGAGTCCTTCCCATTCGTTTAATGACTTAAAGATATCAGACCAACAAGACTATCACCAACGTTCTATATAAATGACTGGAGCCTATATAATGTTCTTCAGTTGCGGAATATACATTATGAGCTACTTTTTGTTGTCCCTTTATATATGTGGACACTTCATTTATTAAATTATGATGCCAATTAAAACATGACTTCTCCTATAGGTGCAATGGATGGATAGCATCCAGTTTTGTGAAGAGTACCCCCTCATGATAACAATCAGAAAACTGTATAAAGAGATTTAAGAGGTTCAAAAGAAATGATGGGAAAGATATCACTCGAGTGAAAGATGAAACCAAAGGTAGAGAAAGGTGCAAGAACAGTCAGGGTAACTAAAAAACAAAGCGAAAACTTGAAAATGTTTAACACAAAACAGGAAATTTTATTTTCCACTTGCTTACATTCTAGTTGACTGTTCTGGAAAAGAGAGACTATAACCTAGGTCAAAACTTACTTACTTTGCTATTTCAGCTACGGGGACCATATGCTGTTTCTAATGCATGATACTTGTGTACTCATTTAAGTACCTGTCTTCTTTACTAGAATCTCTTGAGGACATACAGACTTTCATGCCTGTATCCCTGTAGCATAGAACCTGACACGGAGTAGGGATACATGTTTGTTAGACACATTCATATAAAAATAAATTCATTAAAAATTCATATAAAAATGAAAAATCAGAGCCGTCTTGGTTATAGATAATTATTAATATAGTATTCTCAAATTATATTTTTGCAAATCAAACCTAGGATGGTTTAAATCTAGGGTTAAGAGTTCCATCGAAGAGAACACAGGGCATACAGTTTATTCTATAATCAGTACTGACAGCCCCATTACAAAACACATCCATTAAGGAGTGAACTGTCTGAGGAATATCGGATCCTTATAAGCTTAACAATTAGTCTGCACTTGGCAGAGTAACCTTGGACCACTTTTTAGCCAAGTGTTTTCTCCCACATGAAAGAGAAGAATATGGCAATATCTTCTCATTATTTCCATTAGCCAGTGAGGAGATACAAAAGAGTAAGCTCTGTTCTCTTCAGCTAGCAAGAATCCAAGGGAAAGAAATCTTTTAAATTTTGTACAGGAATTCTTATTCTCCTTCATTGTGAATACCTGACTTCATGGATGGAAGGGGATAAACTTCATTGGTCCAATTGAGAAAGCCAAAGACATGCATGCAGGACATATAAGGGCACCAAATTATATTTATATTCTACAGTGTAGTTTGTGACATCAAATATGTATGTTTTATATCTCTCATTAATTTGAAAATAATTTGAATTTCACTAAGTTTCAGGTCTTGAAAACTCACCAGTTAATCAAAACAAACTCACCAATAGCCTAATGCCCATTTATCCCTTTTTTTCATATAGTCAATGTTTATTGAGATTTCACCGTTTACCATTTTCCTTGCTTACATGTCTTCCCTCCTCCCCCCACCATGAGGTTTATTGAGCATACATATACTTGACAAACAAAATTTGTATGTATTTATAGTATACAACATGGTGTTTTAATGTATGCATATATTGTGAAATGATTAGTACTATCACGCTAATTAACGGGGCTCACTTCTGTAATCCCAGCACTTTGGGAGGCCAAGGCAGGCGGATCACCTGACGTCAGGAGTTCAAGACCAGCCTGGCCAACATGGTGAAACCCCATCTCTACTAAAAAGAAAAAAAAAATTAGCCGGGTATAGTGGTGGGTACCTGTAATCTCAGCTACTCATGAGGCTGAGACAAGAGAATTGCTTGAACCCGCAAGGCAGAGGTTGCAGTGAGCTAAGATTGCATGACTGCACTCCAGCCTGGGCAACGGAGTGAGACTCTGTCTCAATAACAATAATAATAATAGGAACATGTTTATCACCTCATGTGGTTGCCTTTTGTGTGTGTGTGTGGTGAGACACATTTGTCCCTTAATTCTTTCTATGATAGCACTATTGCAGAATGGTAATTCCTAACAAGTAGTTATGTGTGGCCATGATCATCTTCCATAGTTGCTTTGCACAAAACTAACTCTGTGGTGCTGGCAACTGCAGATAACTAATCCCCATGGTCAGAAACTACTAATATTTAATGTCATCGTCTTACGAGATCTTCTGAATGTCAAAAAATTAAAGCCAAAGTAGAAGATGCCTGTAAAAGCTGGAGTGCAAAGGGGAGAGAAAAACAGGCATTTCTCTTCTGTACCACCATCAACTTTAAAACAAAATGCATGATACTCTAAGATAAGCTCTTACCATTATGATGGAAAAATAAGTGATAAACACCAGGGAAGCAGGTAATGAGGAACTAATGTTTAGAATGTGTATTGTGACAAAGCATCCTTAATTGGAAATTTTTTGCAGATTCATAGAAAGAAGAGTAAAAAACTAAAAAATCTTTTCTGCTTAAGATTCGTTTTTAACTCATGTACTAAAATATCCCCAAATTATAAGCCTATTAATGAGGTAATTCCATGCTGAAATTCTGGTTGCATAAACTTGGTCTCGTGGTTTATTATGTAACAAAAAAATATTTGTAGGATGATAGGATTACTCAGAGTTGTGGGTACGTTCGCCCTTCACTTTTTGTGGAGACATCACTTTGTGACTACCAGAAAGTTACATGAGTTGGACAGTGTTTTTGCTTTTTCAATATCATTATTTACAGTGTAGACAAACCTAATGCTCAGAAAATAGGTCTTGGGTCATAGAAAACAGACAATTGAGAGTCAATTCTGCATAAAATCTCCATTCTGCTAAAATTATTAAACTGGCTTATAGAAGAGTATTCTGAATACTACCTACACTGATACTTCTTATTACTATTATCATTATTAACTTACTAAACCCTGACTTTGTGCTTATCCTTTGAGAAAATGTTAAGAACCAGTACAGTCAAAGGCACAGAGATCTGAGAGTTCTTCATCCTCTCAATCATTAAGCTCTGAGAGGTGTACCAGGAGAATGAACAGGAGTTGGGTTGGACCTAGAGTGCCAGGTTCTAGGATCTGAGAGTAGGTAGTGGGACATCAGAACTTTAGAAAAGGAGGAGATACCATGGCCAATTTATATGTTAAGACCATCTTTGCTTGCCTCAAAGTATAAATACAAATGTGAATACTTAAATCCTTACAAAAATTTTAACATACAGGATAGCAGAAAGCTTCCTTTTAACAAATACAAGGGTAAGAAATCCTCCAAAGTTCTGACTGTAGTTGGAAATTATTTTTTTTCTTTCTTTCTTTTTTTTTTTTTTTGAGACGGAGTTTCGCTCTTGTCCAGGCCGGAGTGCAATGGCGCAATCTTGGCTCACCATAACCTCCGCCTCCCTGGTTTAAGGGACTCTCCTGCCTCAGGCTCCTGAGTAGCTGAGATGGGCTACCATGCCTGGCTATTTTTTGTATCTAGCAGAGACAGGGTTTCACCCTGTTGGTCCGGTTGGTCTCGAGCTCCTGACCTCAGGTAATCCACCCACCTAGGCCTCCCAAAGTGCTGGGACTACAGGCTTGTGCCACTGTGCTGGGGCCTTCTTTTTTAAATCAAAAGCAGCATAAGTGAAGCTTAGAGCTAACCAACAGAAGGAAGTCAATTTTAGAGCACAGTGTAAATTTGAGCTCAAGTGGAGAAAAACAGGATAAAGGTGAAAACAGATTATATGATGCCTGACTAGCTAAGTAACACAAGATAAGAGAAACTACTTTCAAAGGTCATCATGATACCAACCCTCTTCTGCATTATAGACCCTTTATGTCTCAAAAATTTGGGCTTGTGCACATACAGTTCCCAAACTGATGGCTTTACTTGTTGTGAGCAGTAGGCTCTTTCCTTCCCCATAAATAAATCTTACCTAGAGATGTTGTCAGGTGAGCAAGCAGAGATGCTGGTCTCCATGCTATCAGAGCTATCTAAGCTCAAAGTATCAAAGGCCTGGTCCTTGTAGCTGTGATCTGGATAATGGAAACTATTCAAGTAGACATTTGATTCAGATGCTGTGCGGTTGTAAAATTCAGATTTCTGCCTGTGTCCTTCACTCATCTGTTGGTGATTATAACCTAAGGAAAGAGCCATAAATACGTTAGTGTGCCTCATTTTTCAGTCTTTGAAACTTAATTGTCTACAGACACAAGCCAGCAACCAGAAACATCTGCCTATGAAGCTCAGGCCTTGGTCTAATTTGTTTTGAAGCCAAGAAGATCAAAGAAAGACCGCCATGCTCAGTGCAAGCAACAGTTTGAATGAAGTGGTCTGCTGAATCTCTTATCCCTCAGCAGGATCACTTGACACTTTCCTATGGCATTCCTACATCTCAGCACAACCAGCAACACACAAACACAAAATAAACCAAACAGAAACACAATCAAAAGCCCTGAATCCTCTCAAAATGGCTGTGTTCAAGTGAAAATAAGATGCCTTCTAGTGACAAGCAAAACCAGGGTTTTAGGGCAAGCACTTCTTCAACGGTATTCAACTTAAGGAGCACTCAGTCTGGTCATAAAACAGCAGGTGGAATCTTTCAAGTGTAGGGTTTGAGAAACTCATATCTCATATCATCACTGACACTTTTGATCTTGTTAAGATCCAAACTACACATTTTTCTCATTTTCTCTCTCTTTTTCAGTTGTTCTTGTCTGTCAATTACTTATTTAATTCAGAGTCAACATTCCTTCCAATGATTGTGCTCCTCTAACTACCCTAGCTCTCTTCTTTTCCCACCATAACAACCCACCTTCCACAAGCTGTTGATAACAACCATTTGAAAATGTAGGCATCAGTAGGATGAAAAGCACCATAAATAAGAGGTCTTTTCTTTATTTTTTATTTTTATTTTTTGAGACGGAGTCTTGCTCTGTCACCGGGCTGGAGTGCAGTGGTGCGATCTCAGCTCACTGCAACCTCCACCTCCTGGGTTCAAGCAATTCTCCTGCCTCAACCTCTCGAGTAGCTGGGACTACAGGCGTGCACCACCATGCCCAGCTAACTTTTGTCTTTTTAGTAGAGGTGGGGTTTCACCATGTTGGCCAGGATGATCTCGATCTCTTGACCTTGTGATCCACCCACCTCGGCCTCCCAAAGTGTTGGGATTACAGGCGTGAGCCACCGCGCCCGGCCAAGAGGTCTTTTCTTTACCCAGGTTCATGGCACATTAGGTTATGGGCTTTACCTTGTGTTATTGCTCTGGCTTGCTCTCTGATCACTGATTTAGGGCATTACGAGTCAAATTTTCTTCTTTTCAATTCTCTATTTATTATATACTCAGGAGCAGGCATCATATTGATTAACAAATTCCTCAATTCATTAAAAAACTTTTCTCTAGCCAGTACTAGAATTTGTAATCTCTTTCTCCCTGATAAGAGAATGCCTACTCGAATAGTTTCCATTACCCAGGGAGTTATTAACAGAGCTATTCAGAGTTCACAACTGGACCATTTGAATTTCCTCTTTTTTTGTGCTCTACCTACCTTTCAATGAACGTTTTAGTAGCAATGAAATGGTCAATAGTAGGCAAGAGGATGAAAGAAGAGAAGTAATTCTCAATGCTTTCTCAGCTACTGATTAAACATTTCCATTTTAAAATAGAAGCCACATCCATGATGCCTTAACGAAGCATTGTATGTCAAAATTTCTGTAAAATGGTTTTAATTTCATGCAGAGTGTTCATGCCATTAGTATTTGGAGTGGTTTTAGATATTTAAGTGAAAATAGGTTATTTCAGATTAAGACATTTCTGGGAAAATAAGTTACCTTAATATAATCGGCCATTATACATTATAAATACTTATATATATATATATATATATTTTAAAGTCACATAGCATTTAGCTAAGGGAAGATGCAAAACATAAAAGCACACCACAAGACTAAATAGAATATCATGAATTATAATGATCAATCCACACAGCATGAAATGAAGCTGGTATAGTCATATGAGTGAAGCTGCGCCTTTTTTTAAGGAAGGCAAAATAATTCATTACTCAAATATTTACCTTTGACACTTGAACTTTTGGAATTACTAATTGCTCCTTTTAAGTTGTTTCCAATTATTTATTATGCAAATGACAAAAAAACACAACAGAAATTATTTGAAAAGGTCACACATGTATATTTTCTTATGATTTCAAACAAAGATTTGTGGCATAGAAAAGTTTCACATTGGCACCAACTACATGGAAGGTATTTCCTTGTAGTATGAAAAACAAATCCCTAACCGACAGCCACGTAATTTAAAACACAGAAGAATTATCTCTCTGGCATTGAGTGACATTGACCCAACCTCTTCCTCTCCCTGAGTTTTCCACATTGAGGAAAAACCAACCCGTATGAAGTAACTACCACCCTCTTGGAAAAGCAGGAAAGGAGGTGAGCATATTTCTTAAAGCAACTGTATGTCTTGCTCCTCAGATCTTCCAGGGCTGTGTTTTTTGTTGCTGTTGTTGTTTTTTGGCTACTTTTCCAAAAGTACCACAGAATAACGAAATAGAACTTATGAGTGAAGGAGATAGTAAACTAAAATGACTCAGATGTTTCAGGTGAATGTAGAAGGGCCAGCTACATTACAATTTGTACTGTGCTAAGGGCTGTGAATGTTAATTCCCCAGACCAACTCACAAGTTGTTGAGATTTGACTCTACGACTGAATCTCCCAGTCATTCTGGTGGTAGGATAAGCATTTTACATTTCCATGGCAACTTAAACGAAAAACCATGAGGCCAATAATAAGCATCTCTTTCCCAACCCAGGATTTTTATTTCCCATGAATCCAATGTGAGTGGAAAAGTTCACCTCATGGAGCTACTCATTTTTGTCTACTGGCAACACTTTACTGACCACAGTGAACCCCACTGTCACCTGGCCTAGTTTCCTCCCTGCTGAACAAATGCCCCCAAAACAGGTAACCCCTGCAATTATCAGTACAGGCATAGGCCCCTCTCCTGTGATCCTGCAACTGAACCAGTGTGATTCCAAAGAGCTCATTTTGGGATTCAGGCTCTGGCCTGGCCATCCAAAGGCATAGATATTTTAAACAGAGGAAACATCGTAGAAGATCAGGGGCTGGGTAAGCTGGTAGGAGGCCCAAAGAGAGATGCCGATGCAGTGAAGGAACACTAGAACGGCAGGAAACTGGTCTAGGCCTCCACTCTCATGGAAGCTTTATCAGGAAAGGGGATGCAGATGTCCTGTGCACCACAGTTTACCCCCATTTATTTAGCACATGGATGTCATAAGATAAAGTCACTGAATTAATTTATCTTTTCATCTATATATTTTATATAAATAATCAAATAAGGAAGTGGAATGCATCTACTTTCTGAGTGGGAGCAAAGAAACTAGATTGGGAAAAATGAGACTTCCCCAACCCCTGAGACTATTTGGTTTCTATTTTTTAATTATGTGGCAAGAATAACATTAATCAGTGGGAAAGCAACTGAGACAGTAAAAAGGGCCTTGAATATGCTCTAAATTATTCCTATCCAGACAGAAATAGCTGTCTGAAGGGGTAGTTTATAAGGTCTATAAAGCAAGAGCTAATTGAGGCTTGTTGCTAATCACACCCACACTAGGAGCCCAAAATCAGCTCAGCTCTTCACTGCCTGGGAGAGCCAAGAGACCAAATGTGCAAGGCCCATTTATTATTATTATTTTTAATGCCGGTCTCTATTAATTCTGGCTAATTAGACCTGAAAGTCTCTTGTGAGTTAACGATTACACAATGTGTAGAGTCCTGCCGATACATTCCCAATATATGGTATATACTTTTACACGGCTATCTGGGCTGTAATATGGAAAGTAAGATGCCTAAAAGTATAACCTGGGGTTAAGAGGATAAAATTAACCAGTATTTCTGTCAGTTCAGCCTGTCACAGCTCACCTGCTGAGGAATTCATTCTTCCTAATGACAGTCCACAGTCAGAAGAAGAGGGCACAGGACAAGTCAGGAATGAAGAAGGAGAATGGTTGTAGAAAGGGAAAAAGATAAAAGATCAAAAAGGATGACAAGGGGGCAGGAAAAATATTCAACACTCCCAACATGCACGCATTGATGGTGTTAGTTACAATACCAAATTAATAAGGTATGATGTTCACAGTTTCAGATTAAATCTAAGTTTACAGAGAAAAACTCAAGAAACCTCAAAAAATTTTGATACATGCATAGTCAAAAGAGATTGTTACAAGACAAATAAATCTTTCACACATATTCATCAACCAGAAAATAGGAAGAATAAAAACAGATTTTATCTATCAAACAATTCTTTTTCCAAACAGACAGTAGCAAATAGTTTTTAAGAGCTCAGGTTTGTAAAACGCCATTCAATTATTTGAAGCACAGTTCATCAAGTTTTATAACACATCGTCTAATATCCTATATCTCGACCACCTAGCCACAGGAAATAACCATCTTACCTATTCAAGTCAAATCATTTAAACTATACTTCACTCTCCACTAAGTCTTTCTTAGAAAACAGGCTCCAGTGAAATGAATAAATAGGAGCTTCCTAAATCCTTTCACCCTTTGACTGTAGCCTGCCTTATTTATACCTGTCCTTGATAAAGGAGAATCATGGTTTACACTTAGCTCATATACATCACAATACTCTCTATTCTCTTTATATAGATTCTGAATCTTACAAAACAATGCTTCCACAGCACTCATGTTTCCTGCAGGGTCTGACCTTGCCATTAAAAGCCAAAACAAAGAGGGTCATGCAGCTGCCAGTGAACGAACAGCAGCTGCACCCAGCATTGTGTTTCTTGCAAATGCACAACAATTTTTCTCTATTGTATAAAAGAAATAATCATTAGACTAAAAATCCACCACTGCACAGTGTTAAATCTGATCATTTCTTAAACATGACTTGACAATGACCTTTCAATATGTGCTGGAAACAAAAACACCACACAAGGAGGTTGTCATACCTTTCTTGGACTTTCCTGTATTTAACAAAAACAAAAGGACAAAGATTTCATTCATTCTAAAGCTGACAAAGGAATAGTTCACAAGATGTTCAAAAGCCAATAACCATTCCAACTTCAGAAGCTGAGTTTCTCAGCTCTGTCTTAAACTCTCCCCTCAAAGTTCTTTGCACGACTCACGCTGTCAGTTCTATTAACAGTGCTGATTGAGTAAGGCTTATACTTACACCATCATCCTTGATGTATCCATTACGAATAGCAGCAAAAAAAGGTGTATTTAAGTTAATTGTGTAAGTTTAAAAGATGATTAAGTCTACTAAATGTGAGTTAATGAAAATATGCCAGGTATAAGAATTTTACTTGTATTTGCTATTTTAATAAAGTTAACAAGTGCTACTCAAACAATTCTAAATGAAATTGTGATCCATCCCTCCTGGTTTTTTCATGAGCCACCGGTTTGGGCTGTGCAGAAAATCCTGCCAGTTTTACAGTCTACTGGGGCTCTAAGAACGATGGATCCTGACTTCTCCTCCTCTGGGTAGGGGAGCCACACTTAGAGAACACATCTCTTTGGACCAACACACGTATGATGGTTCTCTCTTTCCTCAGAAGCTGCCCCATCAGCATTACATGAAACTCTTCAAGAGCAACAGCACTTTACAGTTACAGCAGAGAAAGACTGAAGTTGCAGTCTTCTCAGCTGCATAAAAGACATATCAATAAAGAACAAGAGCATAAAAGATAAAGATAGATTTGATTTTGCAGCGGGAACATCAGTAATGTGGCCTAAGGGAATTAGCGCAGTTTTCCCCTATGAAACTGGCCTGGGATTCCCATTACTTTAGGGGAAAACAGATTAGAAGAACTGAGATCAAACCTTCCCTCGGTTTCACCATATTTTTACAAGAATCCTCTTAAATGATAATGTTAATGGCTCTTCAATTTTGCAAATCTATTCATCTACTATAAAGGTCTAGCTTTTCTTACTCTTTGAGAAAATACTTTTATGTATTCATTTGTTTTTTGAGACAGGGTCATGCTCTGTTGCCTAGGCTATAGTGTAGCGGCATGATTGCAGCTCACTACAGCCTCAACTCCCAGGCTCAAGCGATCCTCCTACCTCAGCCTCCTGAGTGGTTGGGACCACAGGTGCATGCCACCATGCCTGGCTAATTTTTAAATTACTTGTAGAGATGGGATCTCACTATGTTGCCCAGGCTGGTCTCAAATTCTTAACTCAAGCAATCCTCCCTCCTCAGCCTCCCAAGGTGCTGAGATTATAGGCATGAGCCACCAAACCTGGCAAGGAAATACTTTTAACAAGGAGTATAATAATTTGTGATCCCACCCTCTTTCCCAAATGCTTGCTCTTTCTCTTAAACACCTGAAGTACATGAAAATGCTTCATGGTCTTTATTGGTGTTGTGGCCAATCTAAGCTTCGATGTCTTCCGACGGTGGGAAAAACATATTTAAAAAGAAGTCTAATACACACCTGCAATCCCAGCACTTTGGGAGGCCAAGGTGGGAGATCACTGAAGCCCAGGAGGGCGAAACCAGCCTGGGAAACATGACAAAAACCCATCTCTGCCAAAAAATACAAAAATTAGCCAGGTGTGGTAGCACACACCTATAGTTCCAGCTTACTCGGGAGGCTGAGGTGGGAGGATCACTTGAACCCAGGAGGCAGAGTTTGCAGTGAGCTATAATTACACACCACTGCATTCCAGCCTGGACAACAGAGTGAGACCTTGTCTCAAATATTTATATGTAAATCTTACAGAAAAATGTTTCAACAGCAAATAGACTTGACCCACAACTTAACAGTGATAAATGAGAGCCAAAATAGACTCATATATGTTTATTATTTGTAACTATTAAAAGAATATTTTTAGCTTAAGAAATTATGACAAAGAAAATAAAATAGTTTAATCAGTGTATTTGATTCAAATATTACCACTGCAAATGTCTCTCACATATTACAATCCTATTATGAATACTATACCCTCTAATTCTTAAATTGCCTTTAGTAATGGTTTGAAAACCTCGTTCCAGTGAGAGAGAGAGAGATATATATATATCATATATACACACAACACACATTATGTTCCCATACATATAAATTTATATATGTATATGTAGTATATATGTATTATATATATGTGTGTGTGCGCGTGCATGTGTATGTATGTATGTGTGTGTGTATATATATTTTCTCCTGATGGAAAACCAGCGTTCTCTCTCAGCACCATTGGCAGAGAGGCCAAACAGCTAGAATTGAATTCCAGCCTGCTTAGAAGGGAGGATTTGAATCCCATCAATGCATGAATGTATTTGAAGGTCAAATGCCTGCTATCCCCAAAGCATTTCCATTTACAACCTGGGCATACTGCCATTATTCCATTTACCACATTTTATTGAAATCATCTGTTCTGTGTCTTTCTTCCTCACTAGACTACAAGCATTTCAAAGGCAAGCTTCCTATCATTAATTTGCATTCTTGGTACCTAACATCATGCCTGCTCAAAAGTCAGGACAATGTCACTTGTTCACTTAAACTATTGTGTTAACACAAGAAATCTAATCCTCTCAATGAGAAGCTTAGCCCTGGAACTATGTTACAGTAATTTCTTCTAGCCCCATGAAGACTATCTGAGAACCCCATTATAAATGTAATGTATTATTACAAAAAAAAATGCTGAAAGTCAAAGTCTACCTGAAACATAACAACTATGAAGTATAAAAGCTCAAATCTACATTAAAAGGCCTACAAGAATTCTGTTCTGGGCCACTACTGCTATATTTACCGTGTCAGCTCAATGATTCTTTAGCACAAAGTTCATTCAACTTAGTGGCTCTGACACAACCCAGGTGAGTGATCTTGGTTAAGTGTCCTGGTAACCTCCTTGGATCTCACTGGTCTCTCTTTTCTTTCTATTAATCAAATGGGAAGGTTAGTAATTCTCTAGGGGTCTTTCTGGTTTAAGAGTTCTATCAAATCTAAAAAGTACAATGGGAATGTTTAAAATATACCAGCTATATGTATAAATAGGAAAAGTTATCTATCCCTCCCGAAAGAGAACACATTAAGAGTAAAATTAGGCCTTTGGCTGATCCCTCTTCTAATCATCCCTACCCGTTCTCACTTCCTCCCCCTGAAGAATTCTAATGCTTAACAAAAGGCCATGACATTTGATTTAAAAGGCACGTACCTCTGAGCATCCTGCGAGATTCTGAGTCTTTGGCCATGGCTGCCAGTGAGGGAGGGAGCACGCTTCCACAGCTGTTACTCTGTCCCAGGGGCACGTGGGCCTGTGGGAAGCAGGAGGGAGTACTTCAGGCAAGCTGCAGGCTGAATGGACCTTTAGGAAATGGCCACATCCCTGTTTCCAAAGCTCCTATCTAAGTGTACAGGGCAGAGAAGGTAGGTCTTTGAATTACATTTGTTGATGCTAAGTGGTAAACGCCAGTTACTGGCCCTCCCGAGAAGCTCCAGGGTAGTCGCAATATCACAGCACTTCCTCCAACAGCAGCAATTCCAAAAGTGAAGACAGTTGGGGAAGACACTGTCCAAAATCACCTGAAAGAATGGCTGAAAGTTCTTCATGCATAAGGAGCAGAGGGCAGATGCAAGGCCAAGAATGCATGCGCACCATGCAAAAGAACAGGGAAGAGCTACTCTTGTTACAAATGTACCGATTTTTATTTATCCTCAGTTATGTGGTGGGCTGAACCTGAAGAAATCTATTAACACTCTAATGGTTTCAGCATTTTAAAAAAAAATAGCAAAATCTTTCCTGTAGATAAAATATACTTGAAACACAAATTTATAAAACAGATGAAAACAAAGTTACTCTGATTAAGGGTAGGGGAAGGGCTCAAAAGTCTGTCTCATTCAGAACCTCCTTCACACCTGCCTCTTCTCTTTCCACAATGATCCCCTCAGGCATGTTGGCAGAACGTGAGGGAGCTCTGGTGTCAGGTCACATAGGTTCACATTCCACTCCACTCCACACCAGCTGAGGGTTCCTTGGTTAGTCACTTAACCTTATACACCTCAGTTTATCCGTACATACAAATGGGATAATAATCAGTACTCTACTGCCTAGTGCTGCTGGGTTTTCAAATGAGGCAATCCACATAAAAGACTCAACCCAGCACCAGCCACATGAAAATGTCTGAATAAATACTTGTTGCTGTTATTCCTGGAACACAGAGGCTATATCCTATCTTATTTCCAGATGTGGGACGCAGCCATGGAAGTCCGTCATGTAAGTGAATGCCACTCATCACCTGGGTTGTACTAGTAGAAAATACCCTGAAGCATGTTCTTTGGCCCCAGAGCATACAATTTCAGATGTCCTCTGAACAGGTAGAAAATGCGATTTAGTCCTGATGTCTGCCTAACAAGTAAATTTAATGATTATTTAGCACTTTTCTTTAAAGGCCTTTACACATCAGTGAATATGATGACAAGAAGACTCATGGAATGGGAAGCCCATGGTTTCTCCCATGTCCTACCTTTGGGGTGATGCTTCTCCCCATAGTAGCACTGCTGAAATGTGGGGAGATGGAAGTTGAGGTTTTCTTTCGAGGCAAAGTATCGCTCAGATAGAGGCCTTCTTTATGCTGTTTTTTCCTTTCTTCCAGACTTCTAAAGTGCTTTAAATGCAAATGTAAAGCAAAATAGCAAAACTTGACTAACTGTAATAGGTGACTGAAGAAATGAAGAATTATGCATTTACCAAAAAAAAGGGAATTTTAGAATTTTTCTTAAAGTTATTCAATATATACTGTGTTTGCTGATAGATTTGAGCTAGTATTTGATTAGATACTAAACACTGCAGGAATTTATGCTGAACCTAGAAACCTTTTAAAAATTCCACCTTTCACTTCTGTAGTGCTTGCAGCCTCGGGGCCGCAGGACAAATTACAAATTATTATGACGGTTGCCATGTGGATGGCGGAACGGCCAGTGGACAAAGCACGTAAGCACTTTCTCCCCTTCCGGGCAGTTCTGTGGGATGGCACAGATACCAGTGAGAGGAGGACAAGAAAAGGGAAAAAGGAGATAAAGAGAAAAAGCGAGTAAACAGGGAAGTTGTTTGAAAGTTGTAATAACATTTCAGTCACATAAACACACTCCAAATCCACATAAAGTTTTCCTAAAAGGCATCATTCTAAGTTACTTTTTATTTGAAAAGATATTGGCCAAGGAGCCCTTACAGTAATTGCTCACATTTAAAAATTCTCTAATGGACTATTTAATTTTTTTCAGATTTCTAAAGTAAGATTTTTGTCCACTTGAAACTTACTCAAATTTTTCTTGGCCTCCCCTTAGAAATGCCTTTAATAGTAAAATGATGTCTTGTTCAAGTGATGGGTGCACCAAAATCTCAGAAATCACCACTAGAGAACTTATCCATGTAAGCAAACACTACCTGTTCCCCCCAAAACTATGGAAATAAAAAAGAAAGAAAAACGCAAAAATGAGCTCAAAAAATTTTTTGTGGAAATATATTTGAAACATAGAGATAAGAAGAGAGGATAATTTAAGAGAGATTCATATTCTCACCACTCAGCTTTACTAAATCTTAACGTCGCTTTATTTTTTTAAAGAAATAAAACATATATATAAAGTGATTTATTAATTAAAGATTTTTTAGGTCTGATCATTTTGAAGTCATTTTAAAAGCTCATGTTTTTGAAATGCACAAAAATTAATGCAAATTTGAATTACCAAATTTATAAACAGTCTTCAAATATGCCAATCATAAAAATCTGCATTTTAACTTTATAATTAACTGTTTATACTAGCTAATCAATTTATTAAGAGCTATGTGCCAGGTATGATGGTTTATATAAATTATCTCATTAAATTATTATAATAATCCTGTGAGGTAGGTACTGAGAAATCTGGGGTGCAGAGAAGTTAAATAAACTTGGCCAAGGTCATGCAGCTGGAAAGTGGCAGAGCTGGAATTCATGGCCAGGTAGTGCATACTAAGATGATAATAATACTTTGCAGTTTGGCTGATTAATGCTCCTTTTAGATAGAAAAATGACGTCAGAACACTTCAATCTAGCTCCCACTATGACCAAATATTATAAATTCTGCAATTCATAACTTTCCAACATTCCATAACAGTACCTTAATAAAATAGAAAAGAAATCCCAATGAAAACAGTCTAATTGAAATTTGGCAGAAAAGAGCAGATTTGTAAACTGTGATTGTTTTGCTACTAGGGATGTCTTGAATGAAGTTGCTAAAGAGATAAACCTAACATCAAAATTGAAGGCATTTAGGTCTTCCATTCTCCTTGTTTCTTCCTTGTATACATAACTTATTTCACCCACCTTTCACCAATATCCTTTCATGTCAGCCCAGGTGGCAGTAACCTTAAGGCAGTGAGAGATATAGTCCTTTAAAAAATGGTAATCGATGGTAAAGGTACCTTCAAGAAACGTAAGGGCTAAGCATGACTGACCAGAGCTCGCCTACATCAGTGCAATGACTCCTTAGGATCTTTTGGCACCAAATTCCTGCAGGTGTTTGATTATAATTGAAAGGAAGTCTTGAAACAGATTTTTTTTTTGAATACCCAAGCATTAATATACACCAAGTGTTCTAAAAGGAAGGCAACATTTAGAATAAAAAATAATTTATTTAAAAATCTGGTGAATAAAAACTAGATTTATGGACCAAGTGCACTACTTGTGGTGTGACCTTGGACAAGCTACTTAACCTCACTGAGCCTCAGTTTCCAAAACTTCAATATGGAGATAATTTTTACTTCATGGGATCGTTAGAAAGTATGTAAAGAGACACACAAATTTATAAAACAGATTAAAACAAAGTTACTCTGATTAAGGGAGTGAAGTGTTTAACAAAACACATCAAGGGAATGATGCCTATTTTGGTTTCAACTATGTGTAATAAAAATATTTTGTGTTGATAACATAACTCTTAATATATAGATTTTATGGAAATGCTTGTTAGTATTTTGAGAACTATCTGTGGTAAGTTGCAATATTTTGGTTGAATGGTAACTGAAGGATGCGGGTATACAAAGGGCTCAAACATATAAAAGCCAGTAGGGGACACTCAAGGTATCAAAACTTCACAACAATTCTAACATCCTTAAATGTTCCAACACTAAATGTTCTTAAGAGGGGGAAAAAAAATCAGAGAAGTATGCAAGTTGCCTTTTTAAAAAATGCCTTTGGGAAAGTGGAAGAAAAGATTCCACATGAGTAACTTTGTTGCCAAGATAACATTCCCAAACTCTAAATTCCAGTTCCTAATTACCTGTTGCTCCTGCTGCTGCTGCTGCCTTCTGTGTTTCTTAGCTGGTAGAGGAGGAGGTGTGTCATTTAAAGGTAAAGGATCGACAGATGTAGCCATGAATTCAGGCCATGGGGCTGATGTATGTTGAGTGATAGGATGAGAAGAAAGGGTGGAAGGAAACACAAATCCAGAATAGACAGGTGATCTTTGCTTTATAGGAGAAAGAAAAGGTATATATGTATCCACATGAAATGAAAGAATAAGACATAGAAATGAAATGGATAGTTTGTTCTGTTTTGTTATATTTTAATTAAGAAGTTACAATTGATGGGCAGTATCTTTCAATTTAGCCTCTTATTAAAATCCCACACTGTAAGCAATTTGGGTCACTGAGGTATTTTAATTTATTATTATTGGCCCCTCCCCTAGAAGGCTTTTAAAAGGCCTAATGTTTAAAAGTATCTATGTTACAAAACAAAATCGAAAACAAAGTCAAACTGAAAAGGCAATTCAAATCAACAATATTAGAAAGGCTTTTTAATTTACAAGAAAACTAAGTTGAGTTAGAGTGCTAAGACATAGAACTTATTTCTTTGAACTTCTCCTAGTACTCCACTCTGTAGCATAAATTTCATGGTTTCTAGAATTTTTATTGGTAGAGCATTACCCCCAAATTGGTATGCTTTATAAACTCAGCCTTACCCTACCCCTCTGGTCAGACAGATACACATTTGTCACGCACGCTCTCGTGGACCTCATTTTCAGTTGGCCGTGGGTTAATTTCTGACATGAAGAAAAGCAGTGAATGAATGAAACGTCACGCCTACACACCTCTTTACTCTGAGGTTGGCTCGCCAGCACAGCTGTGGCAGGCTCAGCGGCAACAGCATCAGCATCAGCAGGAAACTGAGTGGAAGGGGATAGATTCGTGGAATTGCCACATGGCTCATTAATCTCATTTACACTGATATAGCCCTAAAAGGAGGAATTCAGAAGTTAAACACAAAGAAAGCAAAAGCCGAGGCATGCGAGAGTATTAATGTTCCCAGTACAATGAAGTTAGCTTAGAGCGGCACAGCCAGATATCTGTGGTATTATCAAATGTTTCATTAAGGGAATACTCAGCAATTAAAAATGGATTTACATTGCTTAATCTTGAAAATTGGCATTCGAAGCATTAAACATAATTTTTCTGATGCAATTAAGATAACTATATTATAAATAACCCAAAACCTTCTATTTTAAAATATCCAGAAGTATCAGCATTCATTCTGTTGATGGATTAAGGTTGTCACCACATACATATTTAAAGTAATAACACACCAAAAAATCCAAGATGTAAAATTGACAATGCAATCACTCACTCCCTAATTAAAGAGACTTTTCCACAAATCTTCATTCTTAGATTTTCACCGTTTCTGTTTCCTGATGAATTAAGAGTGTGAGGAAAATGGGCTGAGGGCTACTGGGTTTTACACTAAGCAAACATTTATAAAACAGTAATTATTTATAGTGGGTTCTAGCTTTTGGGCATCTCAACCAAATGAGAATAAAAAGAACACTGTCCTTTCATGCAGGTGAGCCTTCCCTAGCAAAACAAATGTGTGCACGCACGCACACACACACACACACACACACACACACACAGAGTCCTAAGGTGGAGTTGCAACCAGGGTATGTTTCAATTCAAGGCAGCCTCCCTAACCCCCATCTCTACCCATAGGACAGAGAATTTCCAGTTACTTTTGAACTCAATAATTCAGTTCTGGCTTCAGCTTAGAGAAAATACAAAATACCTGAGAAACAGAACTCCTGAATCTGTGGAAAAGGCACTTATCAATTTTCATGGAAACTATGCAGACCAATCATGATTTTCACCACCCCAATAAAACAGTGTGAAAAAACTATATAAAATAAGATCTCTCCTTTAAAGGTGAAATTGAGTTAAATTTGACACAAAGATTCTTCTACGAGTCCATCAATTCTTTTACAAATTTTAGGCTGGAAAATAAAACACCTTGATTTTTGGTAAAAACCCTGAAAGGACTGATAACAAAGTGGAGAATGCCAGAGTTGACTGTTTATAAATTGGATGTGTCAGACACTTGCACTTCAGAAGGCAAGACAGATACCATGTAAAGTTTTATAAGGTTAAACTGAAGAAAAGAAGTAGTCAACTAGGTCAAGTTCATTCAATATGTAATACTGAATCAGAAAGAAAATGAACAATTTTGGGTTTTTCTTTTGCTCAGTTAATAGACTGTTTTGAAGCCAAGTTTTAATTATTTATGTGAGTCATAAACCATACAACTTAATTAACTGCTTCAAAAATGTAAACTGCTTTAAAACCTGGGAGGTCTTTCAAATAGGTTATAAATCAATCACCCCTTTAAAAAAGAAAAAAGAGAGAGAATGAGAGAGGAGGAGAAAAAAAAAAAGAAAACCATCTTGTGAGTCAAGTCTGCTTGTACAGGAAAGTGAACACACAGCACAATGGCCATGTGTTCTCATAGCAACTCATTGTTTTACTCAACAAGCAGAAGAGTTGTAGATACACAACGATAGTGAAAAAAACTCAATGTGCTTCTGACATCAGAATGTCTGCAGGAAATAAAGACCAACTCATTAACAGAAAAGGAAAGACTTCATTCTTCTATTAGGAGACGGAGAGACTTTAGAGCCCATCTAATTCATCTGGATGCCATAAGCTCTGCAAACTCTGTATGTCCAGAGTCAACTCCAAATCTTCCCTCTTAAACAATTCCTTCCCCAGTCTTCCCTATCTCACTAAAAGGTGCTTACCATATACTTCATTACTCAAACTGGAATAATGGCATGATTCCGGACACCTTCATTTATTTACTTCATGCCAACATCCAATCTATCAGCAAGAACTGTCAACTCTGCCTCCAAATTATCTGCTAATCCAGCTAACTCCTTCCATCTCTCTGCCATCCTCCAATTCAGGCTGCCAGCCTCTCTAGCCTATGCTACTGCAATCATCTCCACAACAATTTCCCTGCATCTGCTTCTCTTACTCTATGATCCAGTAGTCACAGAGCAGCCCAGAGTGATCTTTAACAAATGGATAACAAATGTTACCTCCCTGCTTAAAACCACTTGAAGGCCTCCCACCACACATGAAGTAGACCACATTTCTTTAACAGACTCACAAGACCTGCTCTTACCCACCTTGCTAACATTATCTTAGGCCATGACATTCTATTCACAACCACGCTTTGTTCGTTGAACCTGACAGTTCCATGTTCTGAATAATGAAAAGAAATTATGAAACTGAATGATCTAACAAAGTTTTGGAAAAATATTTCACAAAATGATTCTGAGGTACATATACAGTCACACTTATTGTGATGAGCATTTTGCTTCATATACTTATACACACAAAAATATTTTCTACGTAAGAATCCTAACTCCACTGTCTAAAGGGTTTTTTTTTTAAAATTATGCAAACACTTATGTAGAAGCAAGCTTTTCTTTTAGCTTTTTAGAAAAACAATACATATAAGGAATATAAATATAGGCCCGGTGTGGTGGCTCATGCCTATAATCCTAGCACTTTGGGAGGCCGAGGCAGGCAGATTACCTGTGATCAGGAGTTTGAGACCAGCCTGACCGATATGGTAAAACCCCATCTATACTAAAAATACAAAAATTAGCCAGGTGTAGTGGCGGGCGCCTGTAGTCCCAGCTACTCAGGAGGCTGGGACAGGAGAATTGCTTGAACTCAGGAGGCAGAGGTTGCAGTGAGCTGAGATGGTGCCACTGCACTCCAGTCTGGGTGACAAAGTGAGACTCCGTCTCAAAAAAAAAAATATATATATATATATAAACTATTTTTTTCTCAGCTATAATTTTCCAAATTAGAGTTAAAATATTCTCCCAGCGTAGCAGTGTAGTTCCTTAAGATATCTGGCGGGGAAAGTGGTGATGGGGACTGGAGAAAGGTGGATATTAGAGATAAAGAGTATGTACAGTTTACTGTAAATAGGACTTTCCAGTTTACAGTGGAAAATGGCAGAAACAACAGTCGGTGGGGTAGGGAGATAGGGAAAAGAAAGAAACCAGACCACCTTCTCAAATGTTTGCAGGCATTTTCATGTTCTACAAGACTCAGGAGAAGGAGAAGCAAAATAACAGAGGGGAGGGAGAAAGCAGACTCAGGAAGGAAAAAGGAGAATTTAAGACTCATCTTGGTCTGGATCTTCAAGTTTCTGAAACACCAAATTAACCCACAATGTCACTACCCAGCAAAGTAGACACACACACACACACACACACACACACACACACACACACACACACACAAAATATGCATCCACATTAGACACAAGAATAATCTCTGCAATCCCCAAAGCATACATAATTGAAAGGCGGGGAAACCATCCAAGCATTGAGTGCTTTCATAGGTCCTTTGAGTTAATATTTTTATTATTCAGCTAATCGCATAAAGCTGAGATACATCTCTTGATTTCTAAGGCAATATAAAGTGACATGCAAAATCATAGCTTACCTCTTTTAAAGTATTGGGGTTAACGGGAAACCCTTTCCCCCCAGAGAGGCTGGAGTATTTCTTTTCCAAATTACAAAGATTCTCCTTTTCCTGAAGGAATACAAAACCTATTAAACTTAAAAGCCAACCTTGGATACAACTGAGAAGCACAGTGACTTTGCATTAGAGACTAACATCAGTATCTCACATATTTCCCCTCATTTTATTTCCTCTCATCATACTCAGTCAAAACTTCAAATCTGTATCCTAGCGGTCATCTTCTGCCAGCTGATATGCTGCAAGAGTTGTTTCCAAACATACTTAGCTATATAACTTTTAATTCCTAATAAATTTTATAGTCATTTAAAAATGTGTTTAAAATAAAATTTTTAAAACTTTATATAAAAAATATAAAATAAATTGTATATTTTACTTTTACTTTTATATAAAAATAAAATTTTAAAAACATTATTTTCGGCCAGGTGCGGTGGCTCACGGCTGTAATACCAGCACTTTGGGAGGCTGAGGTGGGCGGATCACAAGGTTGAGATCGAGACCATCCTGGCTAACACGGTGAAACCCCATCTCTACTAAAAATACAAAAAATTAGCTGAGCATGGTGGCGGGCACCTGTAGTCCCAGCTACTTGGGAGGCTGAGGCAGGAGAATGGCGTGAACCCAGGAGGCGGAGGTTGTAGTGAGCTGAGATCGCGCCACTGCACTCCAGCCTGGGCGGCAACAGAGCGAGACTCTGTCTCAAAAAAAAAAAAAAAATTATTTTCTAATGTCATTTTCTTTTAATCCTTCCAAGTAACACATAATTGTTGTTGATGATGTAATATCATATGATGTTGTTGATGACATAATATCTGATGATGTAATATCACAACCCAGTGACATATTTTCTTTTGGGAACTTTATGGTGTTAGCTTTTATGTTTGTGTCTACCATTCATCTTGAATTAATTTGGTATTAAGCAACATTTATGGGTCATTTTTTTATCATGGTATAATTTGTATATATGTCCTTGCCATGGCTGGGGCTAAAATATTTTTAATTAAAAAGATAATGTGCATTCAGTGAAATGCATAGATCTTAAGTACATGAATTTATGAGTTTTAACAAATGGAATAATATCCCAGACAAGATAAAGAGCATTTCTGTCACCCCAAACATTTCCTCATGCCCCTACCTGTCAACTTCCACCCTTTTGAGCAAGCATTGTTCTGATTTCCATGGCCTTCACACTAGTTTTGCCTGTGTTATAAAGTGTTTGCCTACTTATAAAATGTAACCACTTTATATAAATGGAATCATACAATATGCATTCTTTTGTGCCAGCCCTCTTTCACTCCATGTTACAGGCATCAGTAGTTCACTGTTTTTTATTGTTGAGGAGTCCTGTCCTGTATTATATGAATATACCTAACAAGTTGCTTATTGATGGATATTTAGGTTGTTTCTAGTTTTGTTTTGTTTGCTATTATGGAAAAAGCTACTTTAAACAGTCTTGAACAAGTTTTATATGAAGACGTGTTTTCATTTATATTATGTAAACATCTAGAAGTGGAGTGGTGGGTCATAGATGGGTGTATGTTAAAAAAAACTTCTACAAAGTTCTCTGAAAGGACCATAGATTTTACACTCAAGTCAGCAATGTATGAAAGTTCTAGTTGCTTCATATTCTTGTCAATATTTGAGATTTTCATTTCTTTACTTTAGTTATTTTAGTTTACAAGGCAGAATTACATTATTGTTATAATTCATATTTCCTTGATGACTAATGATGAGTATTTTCCCATCTAACTTTTTGGTTCTTCATATATGCTCTTTTGTAAAATCTCTATTCAAGACTTTTGCCTGTTTTTTAAAAAAATTATTGATGTATCACTATTATTATTGATGTGTAGGAGTTCTTAATATGTTCTGGATACAAGTCTTTTGTCATTTCTTTTAAAAATTTTTGCTTACTCAAGGCCATAAAAGTGTACTTTCACTCTTATATTTTCTTCTGGAAGCTTTATCATTTTAATTTTTATATTGAGGTCTCCGATATCTCTTGAATGAATTTACATATATCATATGACAATATTGAGGTTTATTTTTTTCCATGTTGACCCAGTTGATCCAGCACCATTTCTTTGAAAGATTTGTTTTGGTGCCTTTGTCAAAAATCAAAAGACAGTACGTATGTACGGGTCCATTTTTGGACTTGATAGTTCAGTTTCATTGATCTATTTAATACATGTCTATTTGCATGGCAGCACCACCCTGTCTTAAATGGCTCCAGAGTAAACCTTGAAATAAGAGTACAAATCCTCCAACTTTGTTCTCGTTCAAAGTTGTTTTGGCTATTCTAGGCCCTTTGCATTTTCATATGCAGTTGATTCCTATTATTGGTGGTGGCTATGTTCTATAATGTTGCCACGAACACTGAATTAGTGAATACTGAACCACTGCTCCTATAAAAAAATACAGGGTTGGGTTCCTGCAAGCCTCTAGTCACAATATTTTCATCAACTGATCAGTACTGAACTTTGTTTTATGTGTGTTTCTGTTTGAAGACACTTACTTAATATTATATTATATGCCATTATATAAGATATTAATATTAGCATATTGTATTATATATTATTATTATTTGTATATTAAGATATGTATTGCTGATTCATTAACCTTGTACTGACAGTCAGCAACACTATGACAGTGTGAGTGAAGTTCATCTAACACACCTATTTTCTCCATAAGGCACTTCACAGCCTTCTTGCATTTAGGAGCACTTCACTGCACTTAATCACTATGCTTGGGAGGCATTTTATGCAGCAAATCACCAACAAAAAGCAAAAACATAAAAGCACTGCATTAAATAATCCACAAAAATAACACTTGTTTACAGTATGAGAGGTAAAACAAGAAGGCAGGATGCTGCCTTGCTCAGCCCCAGCTGGGAATGTGCATATTGGCCAACTCAAAATTTTCACCACTCCATGAATTTCTGTGAATGACTACAAAAGTGCCACAAGTCTCGATTTAGAGGTTACAAATACATTTTAGCAAGTAGACATAATCACAAATATAGAATCCCTGAATAATGAAGATCAACTGTAAATTTTCGCATCAACTTGTCAATTTCTAGAAAAAAGTCTGTTGGGATTTTGATTGGGATAAAAATGTATCTATAGATCAGTTTAGAAAAATAAAAATCTTAATACTTATAGACCACAATTTTTACAATCTAATTGTATCTCATAGATTTTTAATAGGAAAATATTATATCTGTGATTGTGCTTACCCATTTTATAAAATCTATCACTAAGAGTTTTTCTCTTTTTTTGGCTAAAATTTTAAATATTAAATACTATATATTACACTATCTAAGTTAAGCTGGGCCTTTGAATATTGTGTGCCAAAGGTAAAATAGTAGTGAGGATGCTAATGGAAACAGAGCATCCCCAGAGCAAGGGATAGAGAGGGAAAATACAACTCCATTCAGAAATTTCTAGGTGGGAAAAGGGGGAAGATGGAAGTTGTTAGAAATATGTGCGAGCTGCTGGGGCACCTCAAGTGGGCTCATGATTCTGTGTGAAGGACCTATTTCCTCTCTCTTCTTTGTTTTTTGTTTTTTTTGAGACAGGATCTCGCTGTTGCCCAGGCTGGAGTGCAGTGGCATGATCTTGGCTCACTGAAACCTCTGCCTCCCAGATTCAAGCGATTCTCCTGCCTCAGCCTTCTGAGTAGCTGGGATCACAGGTGTGTGCTACCATGCCCAGCTAATTTTTTGTATTTTTGGTAGACACAGGGTTTTGCCATGTTGGCCAGACTGGTCTTGAACTCCTGGCCTCAAGTGATCTGCCCGCCTCACCCTCCCAAAATGCTGGGACTGTAGGCATGAGCCACAGGGTCAGGCCTTCCCCTTTCTTCTTAACCTAAAATAGCTAAGAAGGGAATGAATACTCAATTATTTTAGGGGGGACTATGGTACAGCTTTATCCTTCAATACTTCCTTCTGGATTTGGTGTTTCTCTGCCTGCCATTCTGGGTCTATCACACATTTTCATGATCCCATGTGTCATATTGCTAATGTAGTGGCTTAAATGCAGGGTTCAGATCTGAGACTAGCCCCATTAACTTTAACGTTTGGTGTCTTATTGCTGAAATGACACCAGGGGCCATGTCAGAGAGTTAGGCTACACCTTGCTTTTCAATGTCTTTGGGCAAAGAAATCCCTTTACAGGTAGTCACTTTAGGTGCTGGACCATAAGAGGTCACAGTCTCTTTAGTGAGGATGATCTTGCCACCCCTCGACCACACCATATGGAGTTTCTACCTACCCAATTCATTCAAACTAAACGCAACGTGACATTTGCTAGAAAGACTCGTGTACAAATAATTGGAGTTCAAAACATCGGATGAGCTGGGCCAAAATATTTGACAGTAGTAAAAAGAACATTTTTCCTTAAGTCCACCCTAAATTGGTGTTAGAATGCATTTTAACTATTTGATGAATGGTATGACTTTTTTTAAAAAGAGGAAAATAATCATTTAAAAATACAGACTTTCTATCGTTAAGATTTTTACAATGTGAAAAAAGCATGAAGAAAACATCCTTGCTTATTTTCTGAATGGTAGTTAATAGTTCATAGTATCCTCTTACTAATGTGGAGGATTAAATTAAAAAGTATATAAAAATCTTCTTTAAATTGTATAGGCATTCACTATTAAAAGGTGTTTACTTTAAAAGGAGCAACTTCCCTAAATTTGGAACCTATGTTTTACTGTAGCCAGTGCTGAAAAGGAAATACTTACTCTTTGTAACATCATTATTAAATTATTCTTTTCTTTCACAAAATGATCTTGTTCTCTCTGAGCCTGCTGAACAATGTGATTGGCTTGCTTTTTCAATGCAGAAATTTTTTCCTGGAGGAAAAGAGATGATCATAGGAAGATGTACATTAGACACTCAAAGGTTTGCCAGTCTGTCCTAGAAAAGGGAGAAAAAAAGTTTCACAACGGGAATAACAGTGACTGCATTTTAGTTGATGGTGGGCAGTGATTATGACCAAGAGACTGTGGGGCATTTCTTTGACCTATCAGCCTCAGTACTTTCTTTATTGAAGGCTAATATAGATCAACTGACTTAAAACCTATCTTGAAGAACCCAGAAGTCAACAGGAAATCTTGTTTTAGGCTATCGATGAATTTTTTACAACATCTTGGGTACACCTCATGGGAAAAAAAACAATGGAATTTCTTATTTAAACTGAGAGTTTAAGAAAACACCTTCTCTTATCTTTCCTTTCCTTAATGTTATTGGTTTAATCCAGAGCTCTGGGTGTGATTCTAAATTCTGGAATAAAGTTGAATTCTGGGCTGGACATCTAAGTGCTAGGGGTTGGGTGGAGTCAGTAGTAATCCACATGGCATTCTACTTCTAATGGTAATAAGCTATCAGCCAGTTTTGAGAACTACTGCGCAACAAAAACAGAGAAAAATCCAAAATAGACTTTGTTCACAGAATTATTCTGAACCCAGTTACTAGGATCGCAGAAAGAAATAATTGAAAACCAATATCTGAATTCCTGATTTTCTATGCCTTGGTTTTCACATGAATGAAACAATGAGGTATTATTCATAAATGAATCTACAGCATTATGCAACAATGAGTGTACTGTGTCTCAATTTGTCTAATTTGGAACACCACTTGCCACATACATGGCAGACTCTGTAATCTGCCAAATATGATATTCAGACAGACATATGGCATAGCTATGTTATGCAGAAGAATATTCTGATTTTTCACATTGAATGACACCTGGCAAAAGTACCTTTCTAGAAACGATGTTCCGTTGATATTCAGCAACTTCACGCAGGAGCTGTTGAGTCAAGTTCTCCTTTTCTTCATCTAGACGGCTCTCATGTTCAAGCTGCTGGAACTCCAGGTCTTCAAAGTGTTTGCTTTCAACATCCAACAGGTCAGCATCCTTTGGAGAAAAGGGAATGAAAACAAGACACACTGAGATAACTACCACCTTCTTAATGTGAAGAAACATTTATTAAAAGCTTTGCTCCAAGATATCTTTCCAATTACAATATTGACCAGGGTTAGAACATAACACTCTCTCTCAGAGGTAAATCCCAGAACGTGACTACTAGAGGGACTCGAAAGGGGTGTGGTGGGGTGGGCAGCATTTATTTCACCCTCAGTTTTAGATTTCTCTGTGGAGGTAAGAATTCTTGCGTTAAACCCACTGGGTGGCTTTAAAATGAAGAAGGAAATATAAAAAGAACTCAGTAAATAATCTAAACATAATCTGCAGTCCAAAGGTGTAACATAGTGTTACAAGAAAATTCTTCTTGGCCTGGCGTGGTGGGTGGCTCATACACGTAATCCCAGCACTTTAGGAGGCCGAGGTGGGGGGGATCACCTGAGGTCAGGAGTTTGAGACCAGCCTGGCCAACATGGCAAAAACCTGTTTCTACTAAAAATACAAAAATTAACTGGACGTGGTGGTAGGCACCTGTAGTCCCAGCTACTTGGGAGGCTGAGACAGGAGAATCACTTGAGGTGGAGGTTGCAAAGAGCCAAGATTGTGCCATTGCACTCCACCCTGGGCAACAAGAGTGAAACTCTGTCAAAAAAAAAAAAAAAAAAAAAAAAAAAGAAAGGAAGGAAAGAAAGGGAAGGGAAGAGAAAGGAAGGGAAGGGAAGGGAAAGGAGCAATCTCTTCTTTTCCTCAATTTTTCATATAAAATAGGACTAATATGGAGACTAAAGAGTCAAAAGTTGGCACACGTACAGACCAGAGGTATCTAACAGGGATACATGCATCCCAGATGGCACACAACACAATCTGCTGGACTGTGCAGAAACAAATTAGACCTCTTCATACTTGTTTTTAATTGTTTATTTTCTTTTTCAGTTTCTCAACAAATGTTTTCTAATGTACACACAAGTAGCATAGTATGTATACATGATTTTAAATATATACATTCTTTGGGTATGCACACTATATATATTTATAATAATATGGATTATGTATCATATATCTACAAAGGAAATGCATGCTGTAATAATTTTATTAAAGGGATAAGCAATCAAAAAACTTTTGGACATGGGCTCTAGGTGATGAGGATGTGTCAGTGGAGGTTTAGCAATTGTAACAATTGTACTGCTCTGGTGGAGAATGCTGATAATCAGGGGAGCCTATGCATGTGTGGGGGCAGAAGGAATATGGGAAATCTCTGCAACTTCTGCTGGGTTTTGCTGAAAATCTAAAACTGCTCTAAAAAATAAAGTCTGTTTTTTAAAAAACTGGAAATTGAGGTTTTAAAGCCAGGGTTCTATGAACCCATTAAAAATATGTACACACCTTTTTACTGGAAAGTGTAAACCAAGCTTTTATGAGGCACAAACGGTGACTCAAAAGGTTAAACACCACCACTCTCAGAATAATCTTGAGGACATTTAAGGAAGATTGGAAATCATGAAAATCAGATGGTCTAGAAAAAGCATTCTCTAACCTCTGAGGTATTTGAAAACAGGAATATATTTATGCATCTGCATTCATGCAGAGATTGATGCATGTTGTATAGATTCTTCTCTAATATGCTTTTTGTTTAAACACCCTCTTATTCTTGGAGTCTTTAACATGATTTATAAATGGGGTATGTTTAGGAGATTTCTTTTTCTTTTTCTTTTCCTTTCCTTATTATTATTATTTTTTTTTTTTTGAGAAGACGGGGTCTTGCTTTTGTCACTCAGGCTGGAATGCCTTGGCACAACACAGCTCACTGCAGCCTTGACCTCCCAGGCTCAAGCAATCTTCCTGCCTCAACCTCCCAAGTAGCTGGGACCACAGGTGTACTCCACCATGCCTGGCTAATTTTTGTACTTTTTTATAGAGTGGGGTTTTGCCATATTGCCCAGGCTGGTCTCAAACTCAAGCAATCCACTCACCTCAGCCTCTACTCACCTGGATCTACTCACCTTGGATTATAGGTATAAGCCACCACACCCAGCCAGATTTTTTTATAAATATAACTTATACATAATCTATGTCCAAAAGGAAGAGGCAGCTGGGCTCTGTGGCTCACAGCTCTACATAACTAACATAACCAAAGCATTTTTTGATTGTTCTTCAATCAAATCATCAAAGAGAGATGAATAAATAATTATATGCTAAGTTATCTCTACATCAATATTCAACCCCACCCCCACTCTGGTTTTCATATTAATGATAAAGCAAGCTTTTTGATAAAATGAAATGTATTTCTATCTTCTGCAATGACTTTTACTCTAGGGATGATTCATAGAAGAGCTATTAGCTACTGAGTAATTACAACTGATAATACATATAGCAACAAGACCATCATGTCAACACAGACTGAATTCTCAAAGCTTAAGAGCAGGAAAAACACAATTTGAAAAACATATTCAACATTTCTTAACACTTCTTTACATTTTATTTGGCTCCAAAAAAATATGCACTCAATTTCAAATGTTTGGTTGACATTTCAAGTTTATCAGACATTTCAAATTTATAACTTCTGAAAGAATTAATGAATTAAAAGAATTAAGGAATTAAGAAATAACTCAAGTGTTAGGTCTTAAAACAATATCTTCTGTTTTGAAATAATGCACTGGCTGACATATAGGCACATACACTCAAGTTTATAAGGTCTTCCAATTAAGCTTGATTTGTGGCCAAAGATTACTGAGATTTTAAAAAAAGGAATAAGCCCTTTTTCTGGCTTATAACTAATCTCCATTCAAAGTGGCCATATGGCTTTTAATATATACACTTCGCTAGTCAGTTGCTTACTCCACATCTGGTTAATATGCAACATGTGTTATTTTAACCCTGCATGAAAGTCAAAGAATCATTCATTTATTTGTAGTAAATACTTAAACCACTGTATGAGAATAATGGCACACTAGGTAAGAAAGTTGAAAATTAAGCTAAGCTCAGCACTCAGACTCCACTGATGTAATCATCTGATCAAGTTACCTAAACCATCAAAACGTGTGTATATAAACTTACATCTTAAACAAAAAACTATTAGGGAGGGAATAAAAACTTTTATAAGATTTTTATGTATGAATAAGAAGTCTGGGAATGGAATTTGGGGGCAGGAATAGTTTAATTGAGCACAGAATAATATATACAGGAAGTTCAAAGTGAAGTATGTATGACTAATTGAATGAAAATTTAACTGTACTTCACTCACTAAAAGAGTGTTACAAATCTCTACTGGCTGGCAAGCTCAAAGGCCAGGCACGAAAGGACCTAAAACAGCTGCACTAAAGGAAATTCTGTGCAATTTCTTTTTTCTTTCCAGTAACTTTTAAAATAATTGTATATGGCAGAAGTTTACATGCAGTTCTTTATGTTTTCTTTGCCTGATGGAGGGACAGGAAGAAGAGAATAGATGTGGTATGACCAGGAGAAATTGCAGTAATAACAGCTCATGGCCAACTCCAGAAGCAAATTTAAATGGGGCTTGGGGTTTTGTTAATTTTTACACTTCAACTACATACTTTTGGAATATGGAAAAAGACAGTTGAAATAATCTAGTCCAACCTCCTTGAGGTGATTAATACTGTCAACCTGATTGGATTGAAGGATGCAAAGTATTGATCCTGGGTGTGTCTGGGGGGTGTTGCCAAAGATTAACGTTTGAGTCGGTGGCTGGGAAAGGCAGACCCACCTTAATCTGGGTGGGCACCATCTAATCAGCTGCCAGAGCAGCTAGAATATAAAGCAGGCAGGAAAAAAATAAAAAACAACAACAACAACAACAAAAAAAACGTGAAAAGACTAGACTGGCCTAGCCTCCCAGCCTACATCCTTCTCCTGTACTGGATGCTTCGTGTGTGTGTGTGTGTGTGTGTGTGTATAGTATTACTTCTGTCCCTCTAGAGAACCCTGACTAATATACTCCTTATTTCATATAGGAGGATGTTGTGGCCCATAGAAGTTGAATGACTCGTCCAAGACTAATGGATACACTGATTTTATAGCCAGTGATAGTAAAATTGTAGATCACTGAATAAAATTTTTTTAAAACATCAAGATACCAAAATCAACCATTCATTTGAGTAAATATCAAAAGCACAAGAAGACAGTTACCCAGCTGGGATAATTTTCTTGTGCTTTTGATACTAACTCAAATAAATGTTTGATTTTGGTCTTGATTAAAAAAAATTATCCAGTGATATCTACAATTAGTAGACCTTTTTTCTATCACTGGCTCTAAAATCATTTTGCCCATTAGTCTTGGACAATTCATTCAAACTCTATGGGCCTAAATACCCTCATATATGAAATGAGAAGGTAGGATGAGATTATTTCTATTATCTTTTTCCAAATGAGATGAGTTGAATGACTCATTCTCATTTAACGTCAGCTTTCTTTTCTACACTATTAGTAACCCAGGGACTGCTTTGCCCATATCAAATACTAGATTGGTAAGGTCATGTTAACAACATACCAACCACAGGCCACAAAACTAATATCAGATGAAAATAATATTTGGACTCTAACATAATGATTTAAAGGTAGGAAGACCAGCCATAAGTCATTATGTTGCATGCACAAAATCATTCTACAATTTCAGCTTAAGTATTCAAGGCAATATGCAGTTTAATAAAATAACTTTCTTCTTATTCATTTTTTTTTACTTTGTATGACTTACCACCTAATGAAGATATTTATAATAAAATAAACTTTATTAAATCTAGTTTAAACGCCCAAGGAAAAGCTTTGTAGTGAAGTCATATTCTGAAGTGTTTGAAGTCTAAAGGGAGATAAGTTGTGATAACACAGGAAGTTCCTAAAGTGAACTTTAGGACTTACTTCTCATGAAGTAAGTGAACTTTTTACTGATTAAGCCAAGGCATTGGTGAAGAGTTATACTGGTCGTCATCCTTGAAAAACAATTAGTAGACCTCTTACTATCAGGTGAACCGCAGCCATCACAAGCCAGCTCTCTCTCCTAAGGAAAGAGGTTTTATAAGAATTTTACACGCTGTTTGGAGAGGAAAGGGAAGAAGTCTCTGCCTTCAATTAATGGAAAAGACTGTCTGCATCATTTCCTTTCCTCTTTTGTAGTCAAAATCTTTGGAACATACAGCTCATATTATGAGTTATCTTACAGAATCTAGATTAAGCTAAACAGTATTTATATTACTCATAATCCAAGTTGTGAATAAAATCTATCAATTTTTATGTAAAGCAATGTTGATAAAGAACATAATAAATGGATTACCAGAGGAAGGGAAGGACAAAATACACAACTATGCTGCTGACTGTAAATAAGGAATTACAATGACTGTGTAAAATCTTTAGTGATAAGGAGAGTTAAAAAACAGTAAGCAAATATTTAAAGAATTAGTTTTCCCATCTCTTTTGTTAACTAGCATAAACACAAACAAATTACAAACTAAAATTACTTTACAAATACTAGTTTTCTTCCAATCATTTTTATCATAAAATTTGCAGAGAATTGTGACTGAGAGGCAGGAAGTTTTATCTTCTTACAACAAATTCAGCTGTACACAATAAAAGAAGTAAAGGGAAGACATGTAAAACTTTTTTGCTCCAACATTGTAAGAAATAAATACTAAAACTATTATGCTGCAGTTTAAACAGCTGCATTGGATTATCATTATTAAGATGCTCTCAACTTCTGCAATACATTGAAAAGCTTTAACTGTGATTTTTTCACCTAGCAATGTTCTCAGAGGTAGCAAATATTTTTGTATTAAAGATCATCTTAAGAATGTTTAAGGATGTGCTATCTCAATAAATTTTTCAACCTCCCCATTCCCAAGAAGGTACAAACACAATAATATGGATGAAACTAGCTTGTTATACTCAGGTAGAATCATAAATTGCTACTCACTTAGGACAAATTACTATTATGTGACTCTTTCAGATATCCAAGACTGTTAACGAAACGACTGCTTCCCCAGAGGGAAGCAGTTTACTGGGGCTGCTGTTCAAAGGAAATGACCCAGTTGCCAAGAGGCTATGAAATATTAAGTGGCTGCGCCAGTGTTTGTGAAACTATCCACCTAGGAAGTCTTGCTTTCAGAAGATAACCAATGTGGTTGTGTTAAACACTGCCAACCTTAAAGATCGGAGAATAACTTGACAAAGCTTAACTAGAAAGTCTATGCTGCATTAAGTTCTTAAAAATTATGAAGCTCACATGAGATGTTGGGGGCATTAGTGATGCCCCACATCTTGGGTCTTGGCATTTAATTGTTGTGATTGGGCTAATTAGTTCAATGTCACTAACCAGCAGAAAGAAAAGGAAAAACAAAAGAACAGCTGCTGGTGGGGAGCAAATCAGAAAATAGGATAATTTGGGGACAAGAGTCTAAAATCAAGCTAAAGAACAAAACATTCAAGGGTAAATAGGATTCATGATGCAGCAGAGAATGCAGGGGAAGAGGTCAGTTAATACAAATGCTACAATGTTGATGTTGGTTACAAATCAGAAATAGCTCTTTTGTCACAGACACATAAAAAATGACTCCAGAAATAGTTTTGCATTATAAATTAGGAGAAGGATTCTAACAAGGAATTTTAAAAACTGATTAGCATGGAATAATATATACTGTTAGCATGCATATTTCCATTTAAACATATCTAATGACTAGAACTTACGCAAACTTACGCTATATGAAGTAGTAAGTCACAGGTAAGTGGCACTTAAGTGAAAAACAAAAACGAAAAGCAAAATAACTGGTGCATTCCTGTTTGCTACTGACCCTCTTCAGTTGTTGTTGTAACTGTTCCCTCATGGACTCAGGACAATTGTCCAGCTGGGTCTTCTGCTCGGAGTAAAGCTCCTGAAGCCTCTCTAGTTTTTCCCTTTCAGCATCAAGCTTTACCTTCTCCTGAAGTTCAGAAACCAGAAAATAGAATAGAAATTACCTTCACACCCCAAGCAGGTGCTAGTGAACATTTCTCAAGGATAACACGAACAAACATACACGAACTCTGGACATTCTATGAATGCAGAAACATATCTTGTTAGTGGCTAGGATAAAGGGATATAAGCGGAAGTTAAGACAAAGGGACTGGGTTTCTCTATTCTCAAAGCACAGTCCACTTCACGGCAATGACTCCCGCTTTCCTTCCCTCCCTCCTTCCTGCTACCATGTTACAAAAGCAGGGGAAGCAATGGTCATGTTGAGTGTTGGTCACTGGCCAACAATCAAAGAAATGCCAAGCAAATTCATAAGCAAGACTTGCCAAGAGTCACCTGTCACAGAACCAGACAAAGGAAAGAGGGCATTTGCCTCAAGGACTGTCATAGCCTAACTTGCTCAAGGCCTTCGCATGGCAAGTTTTGGAATTTCTTGGTTTTGTTCTCAGGTTAGAGGAATTCTAGGTGTATTAATTGACAGCCCCATCATCTGAAACAGTTCTAGCTATTTGGAAAACTTCAGAATTTACAGAGTTAGAAAATCTTAATCCAGAGAGATTATTCAAAGACTGAGAGAGCTAGTAAAACTGCAAGACAGACAAAGCAGCAAGGGGGAGGCATAGGCAGCTCAGACACACCAAAAACGTGACAGGGACTGTGGAAATACAGACTTTCCCACAATGACTGACATACAAATAAACTGAAACACGGACTGTGAAAAAAAGAAAAGAGTCAGAGAAGAAAGGAGAAGGAAGAGAATACTAAATCCCTTCCAAGTCACATGTGCCAATGAGACCCTGGACATTCCCCAGGACATAATAGGCAAATACTCTAATACAGTGATTACACGGCCTTACAATGCTACCTCTTAAATTAAGAAACAAAACTTCAGTTTGTTTGGTGCCAGTCTTCCCAACCTGTGTTCTTTTTATGATGCTCTGAACACTTGAAACAAATTTTAGATGTGTTTTCTCCTTGTGTAACACCATCAGCCTGAACAAAAGCACTTTATGAGGCACTTTGACAATCTGACCTTTGGTAAGTGAAATGACCCCCACTTTCCCTTCCTTATATTCCTTTCATATAAACTGGCAGGAACAAAACTAGCTTCTAAGCACATCACAGAAGGACTCTTTTTAAGGATTTTCCTCCGAAATAGTCCTATGAAATTATCCTTACTACATTTTATCAAAATGGCAATGATTTCTTATGTATAAAAGACGTTACGGTCCAAATCTAAAACTACATGACATCAATACCAGTTCACTTGAGTCTCCATTTTTGACTTAAATTTAGAAATGTATATTTGGCTTTAGAAATGTAATTATCTTAAAATAATTAAATTCAGAAGTCATAAACCTGAGACCCCTACTTCATATATCAATCTAACATGGGTCTGTAACAACTTAAAACTTTAACAGACTACAAAGAAAATTTCTTTGATCTTCAACGGTTAAGTTTGCTCACTGTACACACCAATTGTGCAAGAGTTGGAGAAAGCAATGGCATTGTTAACAGAAGAAAGGATGCCCACGTGTGCTAATCCATAGTAAAACTGAATATACTAGCACCGTTAGATTTAGTCTTTAGTTTCAGAATTTTTTTTTTCCCTAATAAAACCAGCAATATAGAATACTTGTTGTCCTTTGGCTAAAAAAAGGTGTTCTTTCCTATGTGTGTGCATCAAAGATTGCCCTATTTACACAGCAAAATAATTTTATCCCAAGAGTTCTATTTCTAGGTACTGCATCACCAGTTTGCAGCAACTCTACTTACAAATGGAAAGCTAAAAAGTAATTAAAAAAAGAAGACGACTACGCATCATAATTTAACAGCACACGTATAAAGCCCTAAAATTTAAAGTTATCTTCGATAGAAAACACTGAAACGATATTTGATAATACGGAAAGCCACTGGCCTAAAACACAGGTCTCAAATCTGAAGAAATAACAAAAGTATTCCTGATGCTCTCAAATGTTTGTATTGTGAATAATAAACTCAAATCAACAACTAATAAAAAAAAATCTTTCATGCCTGTAATCCCAGCAATTTGGGAGGCCAAGGCGGCCGGAACACGGGTCAGAAGATCGAGACCATCTTGGCTAACACAGTGAAACCCTGTCTCTACTAAAAAATACAAACAACTAGCTGGGCGAGGTGGCGGGCGCCTGTAGTCCCAGCTACTCCGGAGGCTGAGGCAGGAGAATGGCGTGAACCCGGGAGGCGGAGCTTGCAGTGAGCTGAGATCCGGCCACTGCACTCCAGCCCGGGCAACAGAGCGAGACTCCGTCTCAAAAAAAAAAAAGTACAACAACAACAAAATTAGCCCGGCGTGGTGGCGGGTGCCTGTAGTCCCAGCTACTCGGGAGGCTGAGGTCCGAGTATGGCGTCAACCCAGTAGGCAGAGCTTGCAGTGAGCCAAGATCGCATCACTGCACTCCAGCCTGGGTGACAGAGCGAGACTCTGTCTCAAAAAAAAAAAAAAAAAAAAAAAAAAAAAATTCTTACATTTAAATAGCGCCTTATTTCCAAGGTGCTTTAAAACGTTTCGTAATTCATGCAAGGGGTCATCTAGAAGAATATGCAAGCAAGCACTATTAGAACTTTCTGCAGCTTCTCTGTTTATCAGTAATGCTGTGACCACTACCTGGGTCCCAGAGCAAAAGCTCAGTGGGGCCAAAGCTAGGGCAAAGGAAGTAAAGGGGAAGGATGAAAGAAGACCAGTGGCAGGTGGGCCCAGCTGTAAATCACAGAGGACCGCAGAGGTGATATAACTCCTGTGAGTGCCAGAAGTAGACCAACTTTGAGCCAGAAAGAAATTAATATTCCTCTATTCTATTTATTGCCCAGGAAGTTGTTAAAGGAAAATTAGCTCTAGGCAAGCAGTTAATTAGAGCTGAAAGTTTCACCTTCTACAGTGAATGTAAAATAGATGGCATTTGAGGGTTTAGGGATTCTTGCTTTTTAAATGCAAAATACTAAGATTGAGGTTATTCCATTTCTCCATATTTAAATTGGTAAACTCACCTATTCTAACTACAATAGGCACAATAATATTTTACAAATACCAAATTGGGAGAGAATATAACTTTTTAAAAAAGATTCATAAATGTACTTTCAGGAAAAAAAATGAATTCTTTTTTTTTTTTTGAGATGGAGTCTCGCCCTGTCACCCAGGCTGGAGTGCAATGGCATGATCTCGGTTCACTGCAAGCTCCGCCTCCCGGGTTCACGCCGTTCTCCTGCCTCAGCCTCCCGAGTAGCTGGGACTACAGGCGCCCGCCGCCACGCCCGGCTAATTTTTTTTTTTTTTTTTTGTATTTTTAGTAGAGACGGGGTTTCACCGTGTTAGCCAGGATGGTCTCAATCTCCTGACTTCGTGATCCACCCACCTGGGCCTCCCAAAGTGCTGGGATTACAGGCGTGAGCCACCGCGCCCGGCCTAAAAAAAAATTTTTTTTTGACCTACTTTGTATATTTAAGACTGATGTTTCTAGAGTTCCACATTCATATACAGACAAAGGTAAGTTACCCATGGGTAAATTAAGGTAGAAATCAGTTTATAAAATTAGGCCCATATTTGCTTCCACAGTGAGTTGTTTGTTCATTTGCCCAATAACAATTGAAAGAAAACTAGAGGAGATGAGAGAAAAGACAGCAATTGATCCTGTCCTCATGTAGCACAGTCCAGTTAACCCATTAGAACAATGTGAACCAATAGAACCAATAGAACAACTATTTCCCAGGCCCCAATTTAGTTACAGATCCAGGGATAGAAGGCTTAGTAACAAGCATTAAAAAATCTCTCCAGGTTTTCTGATATGCAGCCAGGTTGAGACCCATTGGCTTAGCCACCCAGGGTTATGCGAGAGGCAAAAGCAATGAACTACAATTTGATTTTTCTAATGAATATACTTAACATTAATACAGGATCCACCAAAAACTATTTGTAAAATATTTGGTCCCAATGCCTTTACTTTACAGTATAAAAGCCCTCGCTTACAAATAATATCCCAATTGTCAATTTTTTACATTTAAATTAAATGTCTCAAGTAACCCAAACAAAAACTGTGACAGATTCCAGTATGCAATATTCATATAGACAGGGAAGATACATTTCAAATTCAGAGGCAAAATATTTATCGTCTAACCATACAAATGATCAGGATTGTTAAAAATTTACACTAAAGAATGTGAACTTGCACACGAGTTGCCAATAATCTTGAATGATCTTGAAAACGCAAGGCTTGTCAAAAGCCTACTTATTCTGTTAGATCTCATGGTTAGAAGACAATAACATAAATTTTCTCTCTTCTAAGTTGTATTACTGAGGAATAAACAAATTTAATTTGCTAACTCTTTGGAGTTTCAATACTACACAGAATATTCTAGAATACCAATTAAAAAATCATTTTACCATACTGAAGTGTGCAATACTTGATAAACAGATGGTTCAAGGTTACAAATTTATTAACTTGTAGGGCTGCCAGATAAAACAGAAGACATTCAGCTAAATTGGAATTTCAGATGAACAACAAATGACTTTAATGTTAAGTATGTCCCAATTATTGCATGGGACATAATTACACTACAAAACGATTCTCTGTTTGTCTGAAATGCAAATGTACCTGAGGTTCTTGTATTTTTATTTGCTAATTCTGCCAACCCTGTTAGCATGATGAAGATTTTCCTAAAAATTAAAATCCACTTTTGTAATTTCCAAATTGTTTAGCACAGAACCCAGCACTCTAGGCACTTGCGCCACATTTCATTAGACATGGGATCAGGTTTGGAATTGATGCAGTGATACGTTAAAATTCATAGTCTCTAAGGCTTCATTTATTTATTTGTTTATTTATTTATTTATTTGACAGAGATGAGGTCTCACTGTGTTGCCTACACTGGTCTTGAACTCCTGAGCTCAAGTGATCCTCTTGCTTTAGCTTCTCAAAGTGTTGGGATTACAGG